CCCCCTCACAGTAGCCAAGGTGAGAACACTCAGACTGACACCCACAATGCACCCTGAACAGACTTGTGCTGCTGTGCTCCTGTTCTCCTCAGTCCTTAACTAGAATGTTCCTAACCCACCAGGCGGTAATGGCTGCACCTGTCAGCCCAGCAGAGTCAGGCAGGAGCGGGTGTGTCTTTGAGTTCAAGGCCAGCATGGTCTACAGACCTACAGTTCTAGGACACCCAGGGCGACACAGAAAAACGCTGCCTTGGGGAAAAAGGAAGGAAGGAAGGAAGGAAGGAAGGAAGGAAGGAAAAAGAGGATGAGAGGGAGGAGGAGGCCTTTCACTCAACAGCCATGGGTTAAGACACCCTTCTTCATTAGAAAACCTTATTTGTCATTCCCACCACAGATTCGGACCACATAACCCCCCACCATTCACCAGAGCAGCAGCAGCTACTTCTGTGGCCATGTGCTTCTCATAGAAAGTACGAAGTTTGCATTCCTCATCCACTTTAGTGGGTTTCTGACAGCGGTGGCTGGGAAGGTGATACTTAGCTTCATCTTAACACAGCCCACTACCTAAGGGGTGCCATGACAGAGAGCTCCCAATCTATTTATTTATCTTTATGGTTTTCTGAAACAGGGTTTCTCTGTGTATCCCCGGTTGTTCTGAAACTCACTCTGTAGACCAGGCTGGCCTGGAGCTCAGAGGTCCCCCTGTTCCCCCCTCCCCTGCCTCCTGAGTGCTAGGATTAGAGGCCTGCATCACCACCACCTGGCCCCATTTTTTCTTATTTTGAGTGTCACCTGTGCCCTCTTCTAGGTCCTCAGGAATTGTGACAACAAGCTCAACAAAGCCCCTGTCCTTAAGCCTTTTAGGGGACAAGAGGCAGAATTAAAAAGCATTCACAAAGTCAGGCGGTGGTGGCCCACACCTTTAATCCCAGTACTCAGGAGGCAGAGGCAGGCAGATCTCTGTGAGTTCAAAGCCAGGCTAATCTACAGATCAAGTTCCAGGACAGCCAGATCTACACAGAGAACCTGTCTCAGAAAACAAAACAAAACAAAAGGTACTCACAAGTAGGAAAACACCCAGCAATAATAAAACTATGAATAACTACCTCATGATTGGCTAGAGAGTGATGTACAAAATACCTTAAGTCAAGGGATAAGACATTTAAACTGAGACCAGAAGCTAGGCATGATGGCTCACAAAAAGTTTGAAGCCAACCTGGATTATGTAGTGTTTCAGGTTTGCCTGGGCTGTGGTGTGTGATAATCTTAAAAAAAAAAAAAAAAAAAAAAAAAAAAAGCTGACTTAGCAGTTAATTGGTTGGTTGATTAAGACTGAGACCTGGAGGATAAGAACAGCTGTGGGGCGGGCGATCTGAGGACAGTGTTCCAGGCAGAGGATAGGCCACTGCCAAAGCAGGCATGGTGAAGAGGGAGAGAGACCGTGGTGGAAATGTGGGCAGAGGCCCGAAGGACCTTGGGGCCACGATAAAGAGCTTGGGTTTTCTTCAAAGTGCGATGAGACACCACCAGATAGCTTTAGATAGGGACATAGAGGACCTGGTGTGCTTCTGAAGAGAGAAAATGGGCTGCCGAGCTAAGAGAGGAGTGGTGATCCCAGATGGAGGCAGGGAGCTGAGGAGGCATCATTGCACACGTGTCCAGGTGAGAAGAAAGGACGGCCTGGACCGGAGCAGGGTAGGCGGAGGAGGCGGCGTCAGAATGAGTGCACTGATGGCGGAGATGAATCCAAGGGATGGACCAAGGATAACTTCCGGGTTTGGGAAGCAGCAGCGGGGCACATGGTTTGTGATGAGGAAAGAAAAGTCTGCAGAGAGGAAGTTGAGAGTTCTGCTAGGAAGAGTACACTGTGATACCATTGGTCATCTTTCTGTTACACTTAAGCCATGATGCTGGAATCCAGAACTCAGAAATGAGGTCAGGAGTGAGAGGTGCATAGTCCCCGGGATGTACAACAGGGCGCACCGCCAGGAGCGTGCATAGTCCCCGGGATGTACAACAGGGCGCACCGCCAGGAGCTCTCTGCCACTTTCAATTCCACCTTTGCTTCACTTCAGCGTCCTTTCCTGTTTTTCTCACCCATGCTTCTTTCAGTTTTTTGGAAGTTCCACTCTTACCCTAGACTGCCTTGGAACTTACCATGTAGCCAAGGCTAGCCTCAAAATCACAGAGATCCTCCTGCCAACTGGATCAGCCATGCTTCTCCCCATAGGGGTTAACCCTGGCTCTTTGCTTCATTTTCCAAACCCCAACTTAATCTAACCTTATGGTAAAGCCAGCAATAGGCAGGGCTGGACCGGCTGTTGTTTATGTTCACTGTTAGATTGCATGGCAAATGGGACCCTGGAATGGAGATCCGCTTTAGATGAGAGATTATCTGGCTACTTGAGTTGGTTTAGTGCAATCACGTGAGCCCTAAGGACTAGATGCAGTACCACAGTATAGGGCTTACCTACCTTTTCTGAGGTTCTATGGATCCATTCGAGAAGCCCACCAGACAACAAAACTGAAGGAAGGTGGGTATGATGGGACACACTTTAAAAAAAAAAATCTCAGAACTTGGGAGGTGGAGAGACAGGAGGATCAGGTCAAGGTCACCTTTGACTATATGTCAAGTGCCAAACCAGCCTGGGCTATATGAGACCTATCTCAAAAAACAAAACAAAACAAAAAAACCCCCACAAACCTATAAACTATAACAAATGGGCTGTGGCTCCGTTGGTGGAGAACTTGTTTAGCCTACATAGAGCCCCAGGTCCCGATCTCAGCACCATATAACCCATATAACCCGTATAAACTGGTGGTGGTGGTGCACGCAGTACTCAGGAGGTGAAGACAGGGGAATCAGAGAACCAAAGTCATCCTTTCTACTTACCAAGCTGGAGGCCAGCCTGTATGCCAGACAGACACAGCACCAAGTTAGGACAGAGGAGAAAGGCAGAAATGTCATTGAGGAGGAGTTAGATGCCATCGCTGACTTGAAGAGAGAGGAAGCTCTCTGGAATGTATGAGAGCAAACAAATTTAACTTAAAGGTGTGAGCTTGGTACAAGAACTTGAGCCCTAGGTGGGAACAGGAGTCCCAGCCTGTAGCTTCCTCTTTTCCTCTTAGGTCTGTAAGAGAAAGATTGAAAGATCTACCTACGGAGTGCTGGACTTTCATTTGTTTGCTTTGTTTTTCAGATAAGGGTCTCACTTTGTAGCCCCAGCTAAGCTAAAACTCACTGTGTGGCCCAGGCTTTGAGCTTAGAATAATCCTCTTGCCTCATCCTCCTAAGAACTGAGATTGTTTTTACTATTTTACATAATAATGGGCTTTCATGTATGTATGTATATAATGTATTTTGGTCATATTCACACACACACACATACACACATGCATGCATGCATACATACATGCACACATTCTTGCTTCCTTTTGTCTCCCTCCTCTGCCCCCTGCCTCTCCCCAGCTAGTGTCCCCTTCTGTTTGCATGTCTTGTTTGAATGACCCAACAACTTTCATAGGGTTTCTAATAGGAACAGGGTAAAGTGTTGACAACAGCATGAGCCCTTACCAGTGGCTACGCCACTGAAGAAAGTGCATCAGTCATTGAACTTACATAAACCCTCAGGGAGGGATGGGGGCCATGAGTCCTCCCACCCTCCCTCCATGATGCTGAGTCAACAAGCCCAGCCTTGTGCAGATAAGTGTTAGTGTGTTCTCTGTGTAACAGCACTAGCTGTCCTGGAACTAGTTCTTGTAGACCAGGCTGGCCTCCGACTCATAGATCTGCCTGCTTCTGCCTCCCTAGGGCTGGGACATGTGCCACCACCACTCTGAAGATAATTGTTTTTATGAGAAGGGGGTCTCACTGTGTAACCCATATTGGTGATCCTCCTGCCTCCACCCCCCCTAGAGCTGGGGTCATAGGAGTTCACTATGTCCAGCAACTCAACAAGAGAGGAATAATACAGCCCCCAGTGAGCACTGGTTCCTTTCAGCTCTCCTCCATGATGTGCCAGAATTCCAACCATTGTTATGCCACAATGCCAGCCATTTCAGCAACTTTCTGTGGAGACTGGATTCAGGTCTTTGGTAATACAAAACAAACTTTCAAATGAGCTGAAGCCCCACCCCCATTTCTATTCTCTTAAAACCCCAGTTTGGGGCTGCAGAGATGGTTCAGTGGGTGATTGCTGTCCAGACATGAGGACAAATCCTCAGAGCCCACATAAAGCTGGGCACAGTACTAGGTGTTCATAGCCCTAGCCCTCCTGCCGAGAGCCGGTGGAGACAAGAGGATTCCCTGAAGTTGGTAGACCAGTTAGCCTGGTGTATGCACCTGAGAACAGTAAAGAGACCCTGCCTACACCGAAGTGGAAAGTTCAGACCCAGAATTGTCCTCTGACTTCTACATAGGAGTGCCCTACCCCACTCACACACATTAACACATACACTAAAATACAGTCTGAGCTAGGCGTGGTTACACACACCTTTAATCCCAGCACTCGGGAGGCAGAGACAGTCAGATGTCTGTGGGGTTGAGGCCAGCCTGGTCTGCATAGTGAGTCGCAGGCCAGGAAGAGACTCTGTCTCCAAAAAGGAAACAAAGAAAAATCCAATCTGGCAGAGCAGTGGTAAACACAGTTGCTTTCCCAAGCCCCCTCTTCCCTTCTGTAACCACATGCTCTGTCCTGCTTTCTCAGGGTTCCAGACTAAGCACCTGCCTGCTTGGCTCTTTTCTTCATGGACATATCTCCAAGGCCTCCATCTTTGACCTATATTCTACACCTTTAATGACCCCAAGGATGTCTTGACTGGATCTCAAACAGCACAAATTCATGGATGAACCAGGGTAATTGGAGAAGTGGATACAAAGAGATGTGGCCTGGAAAAATGTAGAAGAGGTAAAATCCAGAGAAGATGGCTGGCTGTGGAGTTGGAGGAACAGGAGGGAAGTGAGGGCTACTTAGAGGTTTCTGGCATAGGCAAATGGGTACATGGCAGTGCTGGGTAAGAAGATGGAGCGGGGAGAGCATTTGGGGCGTGAGGAAGGTAAGTACTTGGGTCCTGACACTGAGGCGAAAAGCATGGAAAACAGCTGGAGATCTTAGCAGCGCACTGGACTTGGATTCCTAACACAGGAGGGAACTGGAGATGCCCATTGCCATACAGTGCCTGACACAATAGCAAGCCTACAGCAGAAAACCAGCAGAAGAGGAGCTGGAAGAAAAGGAAAACAAGAGGGAAGGTGACGTGGTGTACAGTCGAAGACAATGCGCCCAGGAAGGAAGGAAAGGGAAGCTGCCATGAAACAAGCTGAGAAGTGGCTTTCACCCAGAGGACATGACTGGTACCCTCGTAAGCCATGGAACGGAAGGACCAAAGATAGGCCTGCACAGCCTCTGTAGGTTGTAAAACTGCGGTCACAGGCGCTCTGCGAGGGTCTTTGAATAAGTAGCTGGGGTAGCAGTCTCACTGTGGCATCAAGGGAAAAGCCAGAGTAGTTTGCACTGTCACGAAGCTGGGTGAGAAAGACAAAGTGACGGGAAAGGGGGGGGGGTGGTGAAGACAGCAGGGGCGTGCCTTAAGTTCACTGGACTCTCCAGAGCTGACCACATCCTGAAGCCAAGGGGAAATCTCAGCTCTCCAGATATTTACAACTTAAATTGCAACTTAAAACCACTAACTGGGGGAGTGGAGAGATGGCTCAGCAGTTATGAACACAGGCTGCTCTTCCTGAGGACCCAGGTTCAGTTCCCAGGACTGACATGGCAGCTCACAATTGTCTGGGACTCCAGTCCTAGGGGAATCCAATACCTGCTTCTGGCTCTATAGGCACCAGGCTTCCATGTGGTGTACACACTTACACCCAGGCAAAGACACACACTAGCAACAGTTTAAAAAAAGTATAGTGAAGCCCGATAAACAATAAACAAGTTGTGAAGCCCTGCATGGTGGCACACGCTTTGTAGTCCCAGGACTCAGGGAGTGGAGTAGAAGGATCGGATCAGGGTCCTTGTCTGAAACCAGCCTGGGCCCTGTGGATGAATCTTGAAAACATCACAGATAAAACAAAAAGACATTAAAACAATCTTGCATATGTCTCCACCTTTGGAATAAGCTAACAAATGCATAGATACCAAAGTGAATCACTGTTTGCCACTGGCTGAGCAGATGGTAGAATGCCCATTTGCTTCATTGGTTTGTAACTTGAGGGAAAATGATTAGGTTCACAGTGATTATACCAGAAATCACAGAATTGTGCACTCTGAGTTTTAGGGTTCACAAATCATACCTCAACAAAGATGTTGCATTTACTAGTCACTTCATTCCATTAATTTCAGAGACCACCAGCGGAGAGCCCCTACTGTGTGGAGGTGCTTCGGGGGATGGCAAGATAAAATCGGGTGAGTCTAAAATGGGTCTAGTGGTCAAATGGTTCACGGATAAACAGAGAATCATACTGGGATCCCCTAATTGGAGTCCTAAGATGTTTAACCTTGGGCTGATTTTTCCTCTTCAGATCTACCAAATGGGGCAACAGTCAACACTTTCCACAGACAGTATGTGAGAGGAGGGAAAGAATCCCCTAAGAGGCGCCCACCGCCTGATGTTCCAAGGTGCTGCCGCCAAGGGGGTAGGAGCTCAACCGGGGTCTTTGCTGCTGGGAAAGTTAGCGTCCACCAGCTTCCGCACCCATGGTAACGCGTCTAGAGGTTGCCTAGCAACGAGCCTTCTTCGCAAGCCTTCCGCATGGAGAGCAGAGACTCCAGCTCGAGGAGCAGTAAGACCAAGGGCATACCCGGGACCTTGAGCACCGCTGTGCATGAGCACCTGCGGAAGCTGTGTCTGCGTGAATTCCCATGTGGCACCGGGAGCTGGGTGCGTGCTCACCACGCGGGGGGGGGGGGCGGGGGGCGGGGGGCAGGCAGTAAGGGAGAGAAGGGACACAGGGGTGGACCTGGGACTGGGCCAGAGTAGCTGCAGGGAGTAGACCGGAGTAGGTGGTACCTAGCTGGGAACTAGGCTGCCTTAGGGGTCAGGACATGCTCAGATACAAGTTTGAGGCCTGAGGGGAGGTCAGCAATGTGATCATTTGGCATTGGCTGATTTGGGAGTTGGGGTGAACTGAGGGGAGTAGAACATCGAAGGAGTTAAAGGACCAAGTGCCCACCTTGCCATGGGAACACTGATCCAGAATGGACTGACCCAGCACATCAAGCTGACCTTTTGGCCTCATGCTAACCTAGAGCACCTGGCTGGCCAGGCTCCAGATGCCATAGTGACGAGATCCCTGAATGGAGAGCTTTGGTCTCCAACAGTTTGCTCTACAACCCCTCATGAGAATAAGTAGAGAACATGGATCCCCTGTGCTCTGGGGCTATGGGACTAGCTTTCCCCTTCCTGAGGATCGGGTGGGAAGGGTCTTCTGCCCCTCTATCCCTGTCCCCTTTCCTCATGTAGCTGTGCTGGACTTGGGATGCCTAGGGTGCTATATGACCCTGCCCTCCTTCCAGGCTGAGGAGAGACTGAGGGAAAGATAGCCAAGGGCATACTCAGCACAGCTGGGGGGAAAACTCTGGTCCAGCAGGGCAGCAAAGTCCTTTCCTTATTACCTCCCCGTGTGCATTCACCCTCGATGTCACCAGCTGGGTGCACAGGGTAAGGGCAGGAAGCATGATGAGATTTAGAGGTCCATCTAATGAGGCTGTCAGCCGAGCCTCTCCACACTCTACCCTAAGTAAAACAGCCAAACTGCCTTTCCTGCTGTAGAGGAAAATAGCCGCCCATCAGCGATGTACTCCATTTGTTTAGTCAACAGACGCATGCTGAATGGCTACCCTGTGCTAGGTGCTGTTCTAAGCTTTAGAACTTCAAAGATGGATCTAGGGAGAGTGATGTAGCTAGGTGGCGGAGTATTGTCGGTAAGTGTCCAGGGTGAGGCCTTTAGTCCCACCCCCGGCACCAAACCAAACCAAATAAAACAAGCCCATAAAAATCCAAAGAGCCATGTTTCAACTGTTGCCTGGAGGCGGTAGATTCTGAGGAGCAGACTCATCTTTTACTCACCAAAGCTCAAATTTCACCTTTTACCTTGCTGCCTCTTCAGAACGCCTTCCCTCAGTGAATTCTCGGGTTCCCAGATTGCCCACTGAGCCTCCTGTACACACTTGTATTGTCGTGTCAAACATGAAATCTTGTATTCATCACATCTCCGTGTGGGCATGCTCATGTCAGGGCGGGCGCTCTCAGGCTGGAAGACAGCATTGGATCTCCTGAAGCTGGGATTACAGGCGATTGTGAGCTGCTTGACATGGGTGCTGGGAACTGAACTTGAGTCTTCTAGAAGAGCAGCAAGTACTCTTAACCACTGAGTGCCAAAATCTACTCCAGAGTGAAGTGAGGACTAAACTGGTCTTTGAACTATTCTGTGTCTTGCTGACACACATCGGCAGCCCTAGCACTTGAGGGGCTGGGACTGTACAGCAAAGCTCTGCCCCCCACAAATAATTACCATGTGCCAGGCACATAGCTCAGTAGGCAGAGTGCTTTCTGGCATTCACAGAACCCTGAGTTTGAGTGCCTACATCTCCTCACACCTAGTGTAGGGATGCATGGCTGAAGACCCTCAACTTGGGAGGTGGAAGCAGGAGGCTGAAGGGGTTCAAGATAGCCATCTGCTATGCAGTGAGTCAAAGCCAACCTGGTCTACATAAGACCAGGACCAGAGCAGTGGCTCAGGGGTAAAGTTCTTCCTGTCAACCCTGATCCCTGGGGACCACATGGTAGCAGGAGACAAACAGTTCCTGCAGATTGTTCTGTGAGCCTGTGATAGCTATTCTTGCTTACTTCTAGAATGAGCTAAACTCCAGGTAGCTGGGGACATCTGCGAGGTAGTTTTTACCTGAATTAAAGTCGTCTGAAGTGACAAGGCCTACTTTTTGCTGCTGTTGTGTTGTTTGGTTTTTTTTTTTTTTTTTTTGTTTTTTTTTGTTTTTTTTTTTTTTTTTTTTTTTGAGACTGGGTTTCTCTCTTTGTGTGTGTAGCCCTGGTTGTCCTGGAACTCACTTTGTAGACCAGGCTGGCCTCAGACTCACAGAGCTCTGCCTGTGTCTGCCTCCCAAGTGCTGGAACTAAGGGTGTACACCATCACCACTTGGCTAGAAGACCCACTTTTAAAGGCTCTTTTGAGGTGGGACGATCCACATTTGTCTGGGCCACACCCTCTGGTGACAGCCTAAGGGGCATGGAAGAAGGAAGCTTGCTCTCTCTGCCTACTTCTCTTGCTCTCCCTGGCAAGTCCACTGCTGCTCTGGCATTAGCGTTTACTTCTTCAGGGTTCTGGCGTATTCTGAAGTCGAGCTGAGACGGTCAGCCTTGTGGACTGGGTCTCTGTTGGATTCTTGGACCTTTCATTGGTAGACAGCCACTGTTGGACTAGCTGGACCACGGCCTATAGGCCATTCTAAGTCCCCTTTAATCCTGTGTGGGTGTGTGGTTTCATGTTTTGTAAACTCTGTTCCTCCAGAAAACCCTGACTTCTACAAAGCCCCACATGCTCTCGCTGTGATGAACACACGAACACATACCCAGGCACAACGCAATAAGTCAATGTGAGAAGGGTTCCATCTCTCCTTCTGCAGAATAAGTCACGCTTTCTTCCTCAAACATGGCGAGCCTGGAGGGACTTGGTCCCCGAGGAGGAAGAGACCTTGAGTGCCAGGGAAGAGACTGTGGAGGCCCTGCTCGACCTGGTGCAAAGCGAGCACTCGCCCTGGGCTCTGCTGAAGGATTCCAGTACTGAGGACCGGTTCCTGAGAGAACTGGCCATCCAGAATCCACTGATGATCAAAGACACTTTCTTCTACTCCTACTTCCGGTCCCTGCGCATGGTGGACAAGGAGGTCAGTGCTTGGCATGAGCACTGGAAAGGAGAGGGATCCAGTGCTGGGGAACCCTGTCCTTTAGGGCTCTCCTTATGCAGTAGGAGGGCCTCGGTGACCTTGGTTGTGTATGTATCTCTGTCTCTAACCCTGGAGAAGCTCAATCCTGTATCTTCTTTGGCTGACTCCTTGCACACTCTGCAGTGGGCCCTCTAGTAAAGACATTTCAAGGGACCATGATGCTTCCTTTTACTTGGAAGTGTGAAGAGAGAGTCTGGAGAGGATTGGTTAACATCAAGTAAGTCTGCTTTTGAAATGGCAAGGATGCCTAGCCTCCCTGTATCCTTCCTTCTTTCTCCTGTGACCCACTCAGACCATTTTGTCTGGAACTTTCTGGGTCCTGGGGAAAACCCCCAGTCCTGGACACACTAGGAGACTTGGTCACTGTAGGAAATGGAAACTCATCCTGGAAGGACTTCTGATGTCCTTGAGGCTATAGGAAACTGGGACTCATGGGTAGGGTGATGAGGCAGCTGGTAGGCCTTGCTCCATCTGACCCACAGTAATTCTGGAAGACCCAGCAGGCCACCTGTTATATGATTTTCTTGGGAAGATGTAAAATTTAACAGGAAGTTCCAACAGCCCTAAGAATGACTCCCTGAAGCTCATGTTGATGAGTATGTTTATTGAGTTGCTTATAGAAGTGATGGATACAAACATTCCCCTCCCTATCCACATCTCCCTCCATCCTTCCATTCGTCCATTTACCAAAGTCCTGTTTTGTTTGTCTCTGAGTTCACAGAGGGGCTTTTGTAGGCCTGAGTTCTCAGTACCATGCAGAGCTAAAGCTGTAGATGTGACTGTAAGGCTCAGACAACAGGGTGCAGGCAAAACCAGACCATGCCAACAAATGTTTCTGTGTGCTCTGCCAGTCTCCGGAGACTCTGTCCCACCAGGGGAAGGATGGCAGCTTGCAGCAAGATGGAATTACCCCGAGGGCTGGTCCTCTCATGGCAGTAGTTCTTGGGCTGTTCTTGTTCTCCCAAGAGTCCCGTGATCCACTGGGATGGAGAGCAGAAGCTCGCTTTTAGAGGTGGACTGGGCTGCAAGAGCCCCTTACCCCTCAGAACTCTGCCGTGTGGTGGCTGTGTGGGAGGGAAAGAGTGGGAAGTTGATGGAGGTTGGGGCTTAACTAGGAATGGGTGAGCAGTTGTAGCACTTCAACTGAGGGATGTCACCCGCAGATGTCAGGTGTCTGGACACTTGTATCGGAGCCTTTGGGAGGTGCAGCCTTGCTGGAGGAAGTCCATCACTAAGGGTCTGTAGCTTCCCCCGCTTCCTTGTTCTCTCTGCTTCCTGTGTGTGGTTGGCACGTGATCACTCAGCTTCCTGCGCCTGCTGCCATGCCCTCCCCTCCGTTATGGACGTCTAGCCCTCTGGAGCCAGAAGCCCGAACTCTCCTTAAGTGGCTTTGTGGCGGCCTTTTGTCACAGCAGCAGAACAGTGGCTAACACAGCTGTTACCCTCCTAATATGAGTGTGCTACCTGGCTTGCCAGAGTCCTCGGTTTCCCTTCCTTTCCTTTCAGGTGAGCCTTGTGGACAAAGACCTCTTAAAATTTCTGAAGCTGGAGGAGTTGGTTCTGAGTGCCAACAAAATTGAGGAAATCGATGCTAACAATCTGCCCCCAACGTTGAAGGTACGGATCCTGTCTTTATGGGGTCTGAGCCAGCAGCTCAGAGGTCCCTGCCCCAACCTGTCCCTCATAGCTCAGGCTAGGGTGGCTGTGTGCTGAGATCCAGCCCCAGCTTTTACAACATGTTCCTCTGAAAGGTACTGAATCCTGTGGGACTCTGCAGTCCCTCCCCTCCATGGTGCATGCCCCAAGAACCAAAGGGAGGCACAGCAGCCAGAAAGGGGAATGACCCGAAACCTGTGACCAGATGAACAGATGAGCAAATGTGGCCTCTCCATGCAATGGGACATTGTTCTCTTATAAAAAGGAAGGATACTGATAGTCACTTAGAGAATGTCACAATAGATGAAAGAAACCAGGTTTTAAAGAGAAAGGGAGTTTTTAAATTATTTGCTGCTATTTTATGTGCATTGGTGTTTTGCATTCATGTATGTCTGTGTGAGGATTGTTGGAATCCCTGGAATAGGAGTTATACAACAGTTGTGAGCTGCCATGTAGGTTCTGGTAGTTGAACCCAGGTCCCCTGGAAAAGCAGCCAATGCTCATAACTGCTGACTCATCTCTCCAGCCCCAAGAGAGAGATCTTATGTAAACTTGCACTTAATGAAATATGTAGAAGTGAAAAATCCACAGAAATAAAAGCCAGTAGAGGTCTCAGGCTAGGAAGCTTACTGCTTAGTGGGTTTTTTGTTTGCTTGTGTTTCTTTCGGATGCCTGTTTGAGGTGAAGATGGTAGCTGGCACCGTGAATGTAATTAAAGCCTGTGGATTGTATACTTGACATAAAATTTGTCACATTAAAACAATAGATGAGGAGCTAGGTAGGAGAGATAGCTGGCTGTCAGGAAAGAGCTTGCCTTGCAAGCATGAATGCTTGAGTTGGGGCTCCAGAACCCATGTGAAAAATGTGGGGTATGCTTTTAATGTCAGTGTTGGAGAGACAGAGACAGGGGGATCGTTGGGACCATCTGGCCAGCCAGCTTGTCTATATAGCAAGTTCCAGGTCAGTGGGAGACCCCTCAAAAAAACAAGTGGTCTCTGAAGAAGCTGAGACTCTCTTCTGGCCTCCACACCCCCCCCACACACACACACGCACACACACGCCGGACTTCATCCTGAGTCTTCAGCTAAGCTTATCAAAATGGCACCACTGACGTTCAATGCTGAGATAGCAGTCATCATGCCTTGTCTCCGCCCCACGCTCAAGACAGTACCAGGTGGGCCTTAGGCAAGAAGTCCCTGTGAAGGAAAGAAGGCTGCTGAAGCAGAGCTTATTCTATGGCCCACCCCTCCCTGTGTGTTCCCGTAGGCTAAGAGAGTGCTGGGGTGGGAGTTCGAGGCTGGCCTGGTCTGCAGAGCAAGTTCCAGGATAATCAGAGCTACACAGAGAAACCCTGTCACGGGGGGGGGGCGACGACTCTAGGCTGTATGCATCTGATCCCCACCACTCCCCACCACCTCTGTAAACGACCTTCCCTTCTGCTGCAATCGGTTCTTCCTGCCCCCCCCCCATTCCCTTTCTCTTTTGAGACAAGGTGTTGCCCTGTAGTCCAGGCTGACTTGGAATTTGCTGTGTAGCCCAGGCTAGGCAGAAGTTGGAGCCTTCCGTTTCTGGGCCCTGAGTACCCGGTTATAGGGACACGCCGCGGCACCCACTCTTCCTACATTATTCTGTGTGTAGGGAGCACATGTGCCACAGGGCGCATGTCAGATTAGGGACAGCTTTATAGTTGTTTCCACTCTGGTCATCTGGCTCGCACACCAAGGGCTTTTACTAGTTCCCATCCAAACCCCCTTTTTTGAGACAGGGTCTCCTCAAATTCACTAAGTAGCCAAGGATGGTCTTAACTTTTTTTTTTTTTTTTTTGAAGTCAGGGTTTCTCTGTGTGGCTTTGGCTGTCCTAGAACTCACTCTGTAGACCAGGCTGACCTCCACCTCACAGAGACCCGCCTGCCTCTGCCTCCCCAGTGCCGCAATTAAAGGGTTGTGCCACCACTGCCCGGCAATCTTGAACTCTATTCTCCTGCCTCCACCTCTCAAATACTGGGCTTACAGGAGCACGCAGCATGCTGGGTTATTCAGTGCTGGAGGTATCACCAGGGATCCTGCACATGCTCCGTCAGGTCTCTACCAACCGAGCAACGAGCCAGCCTCTTACTATATTTTTTAAAGCAAGTTGGCAACTCATACTCTTCTGCTGTGTCTCCCTGGGTGGGGTTAGGAGATTAGGAGCCGGGTGCGTGAGACAAGCCCGTCAGTCATGGTTGGTGCTATCCTTTCTCAGGTGCTGGAGCTATATGGCAACTTGATCACCAGTATGGAGTGTCTGTGCTCACCGCCACCCCCAAACCTGCAGCACTTGGGGCTAGGCCACAACAAACTGCTGGGGCCTCTGGAGAGTCTGTATGTCACCTCCAACAACTGGTAACTTGGGAGCCTGGGTGAAAGGAGGGACAGCCATGAAGGGAGAGGTGTGGGGGCCGGAGGACTCGCTTTGCGAGTTCTGTGACTTCTCCATGGCTGCTAAAACCCACACTAGAATTTTATTCTCGCTCACTCACAAAGTCCTACTGATGACAGGGCTGGTGGGCGGGAGTGGAACCCGTGTCTTATGACAGGGTCCTCAGCACGGCTCTGTGACATTGCAGCTGATCGTGTCTGGGGGACACTTAGCAGCACATGGCCTCCAGCTGCTGGGTCTCTCTCTACCTCTCCCTGCCCTTCCTTGTGGAAATGAAAAATTTCTGCAGGTAGAGCCCAAAGTCTTCCTAGGGGAAAAGCGCCCCACACTGAGAACCACTGTTAGAGACAACTCTTGGGTTGCCACTGTAGCAGAACATTCATGAGAGATCAGGGAACCCCGTCCCCCATTTTTTGTTTCCTCGGAGGATTAACAGTGGAAATTTTCAAATTCAGGATGTGAGAAGTATGAAGAAACCAGTCGCCATTTATAAAAGACCATCATGGGGGCAGAAAGATGCCCCTGGGAGAAAGAAGCCTCAGGACTTTAGCACCCCAGGGTACTCCCACAGGTGGCGGTTTATGCCGCCCCTTCCCCTTCTGTTTCCCCTCCCCCTTCCTTCCCTTCCCCTCACCCCTTCCTTTTGAAGACAGGATCTAATGTAGCCCAAGCTTGCCTCAAACGCAATGCATATCTGAAGATATGGTAAACTCCTGATCCCCTCCTACACCCGACCCCAGTTTCTTAAGGACGGTCTAACCATTCATTCCCTCTTGGAGATGGTCTCTGCCGCTGCCATCCTATCTGCATCGTCTCAGCCCCCCCCCCCCATCCCTTGCATTGTCTGCTGCCTTCAGCAAACAACACAGATAGGAAACCATGCAGCCGGTCTCCTGGGACCATTAGGTTCATGCCACTGGCTGAGCGCAAGTATCTGGCTTTTTATTCAAAGTATGTATTCTAACCTTGGGCTTAATGCTAGCTCTGGATTTGACAAAAAGCTTGCATGAACCCCATTTTTTCTACGGTTAGAAGGGAGATCTTTCCTGGGAACCTGGGAATCCATTTCTCCCCAGGTCTCTGTCTCTCTCTCTCTCTTTGTTTTTGTTTATTGTCCTCCTGCTTCTGCCTCCCGAGTGCTGGGACTAAAGGCGTGCGCCACCACCGCCTGGCTCTCCCCAGTTCTCTTGAGGAAGAATGACATTGTTCAAGGCCTGTGATGATGCATAGTTCCCCTTGCCACTTTCCAGGGACTGGCCAATGGCCATCATAGCAGAACAGGACGTGGTGAGAGGCGAGGCAGAAGGGGGAGCGTGGAGAAGCTGGGTTCAGCCTGTGGGAAAGCCACTGGGTGACCACGACAGTTGGTGTGACGATATTCCCCGGTGCTTCTTTGGCCTCTGGCCTCAGAGTCAGCTTGCTCTGTAGTTTGTGGCGTGGGGCAGAGCTCTGCCTGCTCCTGCGTCTTTGTCCCTGCTGGAGGCCAGTCCTCTCATCTGCTCATACTACCCCATTCTCCCCTCTCATATCCCCTGTGAGACGCAGGCATGCTCCCTGTGGCCACGGCCATTATTGCTTTGAAGAGAGGGTTCCAGCTCAACATCTCTGGATGCCACAGCCTGGTGCACCCCCTTCCAGGTCCCCGTCCTCTCCCTTCTCCCTCATCTACCCTCCTGCAGCGGCGTCCGGCATGTCTGTCAGTGGGGATCTGTGAAGAACATTCTAGAGGCACAGCGCTGGGCTGATAAGTTAACAGAGAGGGGAGTACAGGCAGAAGTGAGGTGGGAAGGGCGGAGAGAGTCCATGAACACAGTCTGTGTTCTGGAAGAGAAACGGAAACATAGGCTCAGGAGCTAATCTGGGTCCAGACGAAAGGTATGTGGCCCAGAGCGCTGTGCCTTCACTCACCCAGCTCCCTAAGCAGCATCTTGGCCAACCTTCCAGGCCCAAACTCGTCTCCCTGGACCTGGGCTTCAACGACTTGACGGACGTGCAGAGCATGGTAGCTAGTCTCGGTACCTTGCAGCACCTGAGGCTGCTAATACTGCAGGGCAACCCACTGGCCCTGGTGCCTTACTACCGCGGCTTTGCCGTGGACAGCCTGGCACACCTCTGTGTGCTGGACGACATCACCGTGTCTCCCAGCGAGAAGCACCACTTCCGGGGACTCAGCATACATGGTGGTAGGTGCAGTGCAGCACGCACCCTGACCTCGGCTTTGCCCACCTCAGCCCTCTCAGCTAGCCAGCAGCTCCACTAGGTGCCTGGCTTGGGCTTTCTCTTGTGGGACGCTGTGGCTGGGACTTGGGCCGCTTCTGTGGCTCTTTGTTTCTATGGTGGCTGGACATCACCCCCTTGTGGCCCCTGATACAAGGTGCATCAGAGCCCTTTGGCATCCCCCGGGGTGAGTGATGATGGTAGTAGTCACAGGCACCAGATGAAGGAGCTGGTGTTCTCCACCTCCCCCTCCCTCAGAACTGCCTCTGCCAAGCACCTCTCAGCAACCAATTTGGCAAATAGGAAAACAAGGCTCATCCCCAACTCACTCCCACTGAACTTGGCGGAGACCCAACTCTAACTCTGGGGGGGGGGGTGTCACCAGACCTATGCCTTTGCTTTCCCACTCCAGCCGCTCTCTCTCAGCCCTGCCTTTACTCCTTGCAGACCTGTTGGCACGTGAGGCACAGTTTGTGGTGACTGTTGGAAATGTCAGGGGGGTCATGGACTCCTCTGTCTTGGACCCAGAGCCAGGGCCTGAAGGGCCTTTCATCAGCTACAGCTATTATGTGACCTATGACTTTGTGGAAGATGAAGACAGCGAAGGGAATGTGTCCCACAGTGGGATGGCGGAGACACATCCAGACAGTGTTCTGGCTGAGGTATTTCCTGCTATCTAAGGGGCCGATTGGACTTCACACAGGCCTGCGGGCTTTTGTATGCACACAGGACAGCTTTCTATGGCCCCAAAATTCCTCAACACAGAATCACACGCCCCTCCATGCAGGGACCTGGTTTCCACCTGATATCCCCTCCCCCAGGCAGGGTGAGTCTCAGCCCCCGCTCACCTTCTGCCCTGTGACACCTGAGGAGGCAGAGCAGAATTTTACCCTCAGGCAGTTGTCCCTGGCCCCACTGTAGAATTTTCACAATGTTTCCTGCCGACCTCTGCATCTCAGGCAAACCCAAGCACACTACCCAGGCAGAGAAGTGTACCATCTTTGTTCAGATGGACCTTGTTTCTGCCTCCTGAGTTTGTGTTGTCGGGCTATGCTTTGAGTCTGTGAGGGCTGGGATGCAGGTAAGAGCTGTGCACTCTCTCCAGAGGTGCGTGGGAAACAGTCTGAGGCGTGTTTGTCCTCTCCAGGAGATTGTCCAGCCCTCCTCCAGTGTGGAGCAGTTAGATGAGATAGGGGGCGAGGAGGACCAGCAGAGCCATCCAGTGCCCCAGCGCCGGACCAAACAGGCTCGCCAGGCCCGCCAAGGTGGCCATCATCCGGAGTCTCCTGAGGTCATAACCAAGGAGATGTCTGAGTTTATAGCCGAGGAAATGAATCTGATGGCCGGGGACTCCGCCGAGTCTGGGGTAACAGATATGGAGGAGTCGGAGACAACCATTTCCATACGCTCTGCCCCCCTGCCACAGTCTCTTGCCTCTTCAGAAGAGCTGTCCAAGCTGCGGCCACTAATAGATCCACCGCACTGTCCATCCCCAGGGTAAGAGGAGAAGGCTGGGCTGTTGGGGTAGGCAGAGCGTCTATCTGTGCTTGTCCCGGGCCAGAGCTGCCCTTGCATCTTCCCGTGAGTGTTCTGACTGCTGAGGCACAAAGAGCTACCAAGGCCGTGTCTTCTCATTAGCTAGCTGGTAGGCTGTAAGCTAGTGGTAGCTTTGGGCTTAGCCACAGACCCTTTTCCGGAGCCCTAACCTCCCACTCAGTACAACTGAGCCCCTGATGCCTGGGGGGGGTGGGGTGAAGGACAAAATTCTCTGAAACATGGACTCTGCTGTCAATACAGGGTCCATCTCAGCTATTAGAATCCTATTCTTACTGCTTTTCTTTTAAAATCAGAACAACAACAACAAAAAAACCAAACGTGCTTGTTTTCTGTATATGCATGTTTTTCCTGCACGTACATGAGTGTACTGTGTATGTATCTAATGCTGGAGGAGGCTGGAAGGTCCAGGGTCCTCTGGAATTGGAAGTTAGAGCTGGTTGTAAACTGCCATGTGCATGCTGGGAACCGAATCTGGGTCTTCTGTAAGTGGCAACTGGTGTTCCTAATCTCTGAGCTTTTCAATCCATCTGGGAATGTGTTCATGTAAAACGTAGCATAGCGAGGCCCCGGCTTCAAGGCAATAGGTTCTTCCTTTTGTTTGCAGTACTAGAGGCAGAAGTAATGACCTCATACTACTAGACAAGTGCTCTGTGGCAGATTCCCCCAGCCACAGCCCCTGTTTCACTTTGTGCCAGCCTTGAACTTGGGGCCCTCCTGGCTCAGTCCCCTGAGTAGCTCAAATTCCAGGCACCACCATACCTAACAACCAAGTTGTTGTTGCCTAGCTGAGTGGTGGTACTGCACTCGGGAGGCAGAGGCAGGTCTGAGTTAGAGGCCAGCCTGGTCTATAGCGTGAGTTCCAGGACAGCCAGGACTACACAGAGAAATCCTGTCTCAAAAGCAGAGAGAGAGAGAGCATGCGCTTGAGGGAGAGCATTGTGGTACATGCTTGTAACCACAGTTTAGGGAGCTGAGACAGGAGGATAGTGAGTTTGAGATCTGCTTGGACTCTATAGTGAATGTCTCTGAATGAATATATCTTTTGATGAAAGGAAGGTTATTTTGTTGACTTTTTGTTTGTTTTTCCAGACAGTTTCTCTGTTCAGGACGATGTTTTCTGTATGGAGATCAGAGGACAACTGGCAGGACTGGGTTCACTGCTAGAATGTGGGTCCCAGGGGTAGAAATCAGGTAGTTAGGCCTGGTGTCGAGCTCCTTTACTCACTGAGATATCTAGCTGGTCTGCAAATACAGTTTTGAAATCTGCCCCAATATTGCTGAGTTGTTCATGTCTCCTTTCAAATCTGTCCATATTTGCTTCAGATATTTTTGTTAACTGTCTTTTTTTTTTTTTTGACAGGGGCTCATGTAGCCCAACCTAGCTGTGGGCTACGTAGCCCAATTTTACTATGTAGCTGAGACTGGCCTTAAATTCCTAATCTTCCCTGGGCAATGGTGGTCCACCTATTTAATCCCAGCACTTGGGAGGCAAGGCGGATCTCTGTGAGTTCAAGGCCAGCCTAGTCTACAGAACGAGTTCCAGGACAGCTAGAGCTGTTAACACGGAGAAATCCTGTCTTGAAACCTCCCAGCACCACACACACACACACAAATCCTAATGTTCTTCCTTCTACCTTCCAGATGCCACCACATGTGGTTTTGAGTGAGGCTGGAGATGGTGGACTCCAGGGCTTTGTGCATGTGGGCAAAGCTCTCCATCACCGGGGTCACATGCTCAGTACAGCCCTTTGACATGTACTCACATTTTAAAGTCCATTTCTTTTCCTGATGTTTACTGAGTCATATGCATAGACTAAAGCTGACAGAGTTTTATCCTTAGCAAAAAGCCCAATTGCAAGGTTGGCTGCTATCTGAAGCTATCATCCTTGGCAAGATTATACCGTCTTCAACCCTGTTGCTGGGGCTGAGCCACAGTGATCACTGGGAGACCAAGCTTCTTTGTCATCATCTCAAATCAGAACTCTGTGTTTAACGTCCCTTGCCCAGCTGTCTGCCCCCCCCCCTCCCCCGGCTTTCTATCTGCTCCTCTCTATATGTCTGTCCTGATTTGGCTTCCATACAATCACAGCATTTGCCTTTCCATATCTGGCTCATTTCTTTGAGCACTGGTCAGTACTTTCTTCCGTGTGGTCTTCTAGTGATGGAGAGACCTCCTCTTACCCATCCACCGCTTAGCCATGGCTAAGCTTCCAACCCTTGGCCTTTATGAATGATGCTACTGAGAACTTTGGCTATGAACACCCATCAGTCCCTGTCAACTCTTTATTGTGTGTTCTTTGGAATTCCGGCTTTTCCACACATCCCAAGAGAACTCTCATTGCTATTAAAATGTCCCTTTGTAATGATTGTGTTTAAGATTTTTTTTCCATTTTGCTGATTTTTTTTTAACTTGGGAGTTGAATATAGTGGTACAGACCTATAATTCTAGCATTTAGGAAGCAGAGACAGGGGGATTACTTCAAGTTTGAGACTAGTGTGAGCTATTTACTGAGTTCCAGGCAAGCCAGGATTACAGAGTGAAACTTTTACTTCAAAACAAAAACCTTTATGGATTCCAGCTGGTGGGCATCCGCTGTCCCACACTGATCGTGCCCAGAAGGAATTATCGGGTCAGTCATTTGTCTCTCCTTTGCCGATGTTTCTTCCTGGCCTTTTGGTTCCTCTGCCCGGCCCAGGTCTTGGCCTTCACTATTTGCGAGTGTTGGCTGTCTTCTTGGGTGTCCCTCGGCCTTGCCCCAAGTTGTCAGCACAGCCCCTGACAATTACACCACATGTCTCTCATTCCCAAGGACGGTCCTCTTCAGCACTGTCCCCAAGCCCTGGACCGATGTCATCCCTTGCAACTATGAGATGAAGCATACCCTCAAGGAGCTGGTGCGGGTCAAGGCCTTCCTGCTGGCAGGGACCACTGTGACCATCGTAGAGGAGAAGGTGGGCAGAGCAGGGGCTCTGGCCTCTCATTGGCCTTTCCAATGACCTTTTTATCATCGTGTTGTCATTTCCCGGCTCCCTCCTTCGCTGCCTGTCAGAGCCTTTCCAGAAAGGACAAGGCGGCTGGGACCCCAGTAACCCTGCTCATCACAGCCTGGCTCTTGACCTGTAGATCCTCTCCTGGCCTGTGATGCCAACTCCTGTGGAGAGTCCCTTGCCTGCCAAGAAGGGGAAAGGAGACAAAAAGGAGAAAGAAAAGAAACAGAAAGCAGAGGAGGCCGCCAAGGTACCGGCAAGGCCTGCGTGGGTCACCTCAGGGCAGGGAGGGAGTGGACCGGGTCCTGCTCACACCTGTGCTTGTGGCCTTGCCCACAGGAAAAAAAGGGACTCAAGAAAAAAAAGGAGCCTCCCAGGGAGCTTCGCCAGGACCCGCCCGTGTTGCGTGTGCTGGGTAGTGGCCTGGTGTGCCTGGAGCCCTTGCTGGCAGGGGAGTCAGTGGTGACCACCGTGTGTAATTTTGGGGTGGTCCGCACCGTTGAGTCCGACAAGCTGACTTATGCCAGGGTACTAAAGGGCCCGCGGTCTTGCCCTTTTGGCCCTGCCCCGCCCCCTTCCTTCCTTCCTTCTTTCCTTCCTTCTTTCCTTCCTTCCTTCCTTCCTTCCTTCCTTCCTTCCTTCCTTCCTTCCTTCCTTCCTTATGTATGGCTTGCTGGGCCAGGCAGGGATAGGGTGGAGACACCTCGGAGTGGCCCTGGTTGTCTGTCAAGTCTGCTGGGCACCTTTGATGGTGTGGTGACAGCTTCTCCTCAAGTGTGGCCCATGTCAGGCACCCTCCTCAGCAGGAGCACCCAGTTCCTGGGGGAATGCAAGGACCAGGGAGGGGGTGGGTGTCCCCAGAGTCAGCCTCTGGGCTGGCCTTGGTCCCAGTGAGCCCTGGCCTTGTGGTTCTTTCAGGAGTCAAAGAAGATAAAGAAAGTTCCCAAAAAAGGTAAGTCCCATCTGCGGCCACTGAGGGTGGGGTGGGGACTGAGGCTAAGGGGTCATCCTGGGTGCAGAACCCCAGGAACGAGGGGACTTTGGGTGACTTTCATCCAGCATGGAAGCCACTCCAGAATCGTTGGGATAGCTGCTGAAGCCTGGCTGCCAGCTGCAGGCTGCCATGCGCTGGGAGGGCTCTGGGGTGGGGGCTGGGGTGGGCTGAGTCTTCCTGGCTCAACCGTGCTTTCCCGAGCCTGTACTCGGTGAATACCTGCATTTCTCAGCTAGGTTCTGCTTATGCTGGAGCTTTCTAGCTTCCTTCCCCTTCCCCACCCGTCCCCTCTTTCGTCTTTCATCTACCTGTGTAGTCCAGGCTAGCCTCAAACTCAGGATTGCCTGCTCCCAGTTTCCTATGTGTTAGTTTTGAGTTTTTCTCGTTATTGTTGTAGAGTCAGGCTTCTGTCTCCCTGACCAAGTTGGGACTCACTAACCCTGAATTCACAATTAATGGTACTCAGAGATTAGTTTTTAAGCACTCAATATCTTTAATAGAAAAACGTCAAGCCGGGCGTGGTGGTGCCAGGCTGGGAGGTACAGGCAGGAGGACTGAGAGCTTCAGGTCATCCTCAGCTGCCTGAGTTTAAGGCTACCCTTGGCTGTATGAAACCGGTTCAAGAAGCAAGCAAGCAAGCAAACAAAGAAGGCTGGGCCCTGATGGCCTATGCCTTTAATGGCAGAGGCAGAGGCAGGTGGATCTCTGTGAGTTTGGCCAGCCTGGGCCACCAAAGCTCTCCACAAATTGAGCTACATCCTCAGTGTCTTTCCTTTTTTCTTCCAGACAGGGTTTCTCTGTGGCTGCCCTGGAACTAGCTTTGTAGACCAGACTGGCCTTGAACTCAGAGATCCTCCTGTCTCTGCTTCCTGAGTACAGTGAAGAGATTAAGGGTGTATGCCACCACTGCCCTAATCTCAGTGTCTTTTCTTCTTTTTCTTTCTTTTTAATTATGTATTTATTTTGTGCATGGGCCGTGGCTTGGACGTGCACGGTCAGAGGGACAGGTGGGTTGAGGGGCTGGAACTCAGGTTTTTACACTTAGCAGTAAAAACACTTAATTTCTTTTGCAACTCAAACATCTGGGTCTTATTTAATGATCTCGAGAGATGGAATTGAATTTATGCGTTATTACGGCTAATGTTCTAGGCCTGATCTCTTGCGGAAGCTGACTTCCTCAAAGTCCGAGGACAGGGCTAGAAGTTTCAGGATGAGGGAAGTGCACCCTTGCCACTCATTTGCTTGCACTTTTATTTTCTTAGAAAAGTCAAAAATGGCGACTCCAACCTTCGAAGGCTCGTATCAGCCAGAGCCCCTGACCGTGGAGATCCAGATCCAGCTGCATCAGTTCCGCTCGGTGGAGGAAGCATTCCTCAGTCTGATTGACTAGCCGTGAGAGTAAAGGATGCTCTGTGGCTAGAGCTTGGGTGTCTGTCTGGCCGCTGGCCGGTGGGGTGGAGGGCGGGGCGAAGGGGAGTAAGGCGCGGCCCCACAGAGGTAGCCGGGGACAGAGAGCAAGGTGGGGCGGAGCCCGAGGCCCCGCCCCACCGGGAATGCCGTCCTTCCACGTGGCCCGGACCCCCGAAGTCCCGCCCCCGCTCATCGCCCACGGGGATTGCCTAGCGCTCCGGGGATAAGCTGCAGCCTGTGCAGGTGCGCGGTCCCCAGCGGAGCTTAGGTAGGTCTGGGAGTGCCGGGAGGGGCAGGGGCCGCACCCTGAGGGCACCTCTGGCTGGCCGGCTTTCTGTTGCCCCTCCGTCTCGGGTCTGCTCTGGGCGGCTGCCGGGACACACCGCGCCGCGGGCTCCGGCGACCGCAGCCGGGTAGATTCTGGCCGAAAGAATGGAGCTGACGCGGGCGCACTTCCCCGGAGCCTGAGGCTGGCGACACCCCCAGGGCGAGGGCGCGCGGGACGGTGGGGGGATCTGGCCTTGCGGGACGGAGGTTCGGACGGGGAAGTGGGCTTTTCGGGGCCTTTGGGTGGGTATGGGGTGGTGCGGCTTGGGAGGGCTACCAGGTCCCGGAACAAACCAGAGTCGTCCTCAGTGAGTAGCACAGACGGCTGCGGAGTTCGCACACCTGCGACCCATTTCTCACACCTGAGACCCCGAAGCAGTTACAGCTCTGCGGCCCCGCATCGCCCAGAGGCCCAGCTCCGCCTTGCAGCCAGAGAGCTTTCTAGCAGCCTTAGTTCCCTCCTGCCCGGGAGGTCTTTCACACTCTGTTACTTAAGCCACCACGACAAGAATGATACTAAAACCATAGGCACTTAGTCTTGGGCTACACCCTCAGGTGTTGCTCCTCAGCCTTGTGGGGCATTCCCAGCTTTTTCTAATAAGCCTCACTCCAGCTCCCACATGCTCTTCTCATCTTCAGATTTGTCTGCGGCTCCTACTCAGTGCGGAGCTTGGCTGTCGTTTCAGCCTGCCATCCTTTGTTCCCGTGCTTCATGGACATGCTCAAATGTCCCGAGTCACTTCATCCTTAGCATTATCTGGTCTATCTCATGCCTGTGAGGGTGTTCCTAGCTGCTTGGCTAACACTAGAGATGCTAGAAGAGATGCTCGGAACATCCCTGGGGACGAGGCTGACCCAGACAACCAGATAAGACCGTTTTGAACTGAAGGATGGAAAAGAGATGAGATGTTGTGTATTCAGATACACAGTCACACCTGTGACTCTGTATCCCACGTGTAGGTGTGGAGCTGGTTCTGGCTGCAGGCTGCATGCTCCAGGGGAAGGAGGCGAGGAGAGCTACTAGAAAACTTGTATTAGGGAGGGGGTGTGGCTCAGTTATGCTTGGGCAGCATGCTTCCTCCCCAACACTACATAACCTATGATCCCAGCACTGTTGACCAGCACTGTTGAGGTGGAGGCCGGATAGCCAGATGTTTAACATCTGTGGCCGTACAGCGAGTTTGAGGTGATTTTGGGCACGATAATCCTGCCTTTGGGGGAGTGATCAGAAAACTTTATTAGACAAGGCTGGGCCACATCTGGAGCCAACAAATGGCAGGAAGGAAACCAAGGGTGAGCTGTGTTACCGCAGGCCCTGGGCAGGCTCCTCTGGTGAGTACCATTTGTCTCTGGGTCACTGTAAGGCTTTGGAAGTAAACCAGAACTCTAGAGAAAGGGGACAGTGGCATATAGCCCAAGCTGTGGTTCCCTGGATGAGCCCGGCTCCTCCCCCAACCTCCTCTCATGCTGACTTTTGTTCTGTGGACCACTGCCTCTTGCCCAGTCATGAAGTTCCCTCTCCCAAGAGGCCTGCGACTCTGCTTTTGCTGGGACTGTATCACCCAGAAGCAATACAGAACCTGCCAGAGGCCAGGCTGCCCCGGGCTTTGGCTCACAAGGCATGAGTCCACAAAGCTCAGAATGTCAGGTTTCATGCTTGTGATGCATGTGCCACAAGACTAAAGCTACGCCATTTTCTCTAGAATTCCCTGTTTATTATATCTCAGCTTTACAGCAGCTACAAGCCACATGGGAGGGAAATGTTGGCTGCTGAGCCCTGCCAAGAGGGTGGCAGAAGGCAGGTGTTTTTAGTTTTTCCTCTAGGGAGGACCTGTGCAAAGTGGTTCATGTCTATAACCTCAGTACTTTGAGAGGCTAAGGTAAGAGACTTGCCACTAGTTCAGGGTTGGGCTAGACTACTCCAAATGAGACGGTTTTGAAAAAATCAAGACACAGGTCCCAGAGTTGGGCAAGGACTTGGCTGAGGGTTTGCTGGCAACTCACTGAGCCTAGCTCAGGTGCTCTCTCCCCACAGGGCCTCAACTATGTTGCCCAGGTTGGGCTGTGTGCTGTTCTGCAGCCTTGTGGCAGTACTGCTCAGCTGCCTGCTCTTTCTGAAAGAGCACACACCAGCAGGGAGCTCCAAGGCCCACCAGCACTCAGGGCCCCAGCACAGGCAATGCCCACCCAACCTAGCAATCGCTAACGCCTCCCTGTCCCTGCCCAGCCGCCATCGTCTCTTCTTAACCTATCGACACTGCCGGAACTTCTCCATCTTGCTGGAGCCTTCTCAGTGTGCCAGGGACACCTTCCTGCTCCTGATCATCAAGTCCCAGCCTGGTCATATTGAGCAGCGTGCAGCCATTAGAAGCACTTGGGGCCGGGCTGGGGGCTGGACTCGAGGCCGGCAGCTGAAGTTGGTGTTCCTCCTGGGGGTGGCAGGACCTGTGCCGCCAGCCCAGCTGCTGGCCTATGAGAGTTGGCAGTTTGATGACATCCTGCAGTGGGACTTTGCTGAGGACTTCTTCAACCTGACACTGAAGGAGCTACATGTTCAGCGCTGGATGGCAGCTGCCTGCACACAGGCCCACTTCATACTAAAGGGAGACGATGATGTCTTCATCCATGTTCCCAATGTGCTCGAGTTCCTGGAGGGCTGGGATCCTGCCCAGGACCTCTTAGTGGGAGATGTCATCCACCAGGCCCGGCCTAACAGGAACACCAAAGTCAAGTACTTCATCCCTTTCTCCATGTACAGGGCCCGCCACTATCCACCTTACGCAGGAGGAGGCGGCTATGTTATGTCCCAGGCTACCGTAAGGCGCCTTCACACAGCCATGGAAGAGGCAGAGCTCTTCCCCATTGATGATGTCTTTGTGGGGATGTGCCTGAAAAAACTGGGGGTGACCCCCACACATCATGCTGGCTTCAAGACATTTGGAATCCAACAGCCCCTGAACCCCTGGGACCCTTGCCTGTACAGAGGGCTCCTGCTGGTGCATCGTCTAAGCCCCCTGGAGATGTGGACCATGTGGGCACTGGTGACAGACGAGAGGCTCAAGTGTGCAGCTACCCCAAAACCCTAGCCCTGAGCTTTAGTGACTGCTCATTTCCTACCACAAACTGACAGCACACTTACCCAGCGTGTGCGAATGAGTGTGTGCTGCCCAAGGTCCCTACGACTCCCACCACCTACGCAGTGAAGGAAGACATTGCACGAGAGCCCCAAAGACTTTTTTTTTTTTTTTAATGCAAACACCAAACTTCTCTTCCTTTGGACACAGCAGAGAAACTCGAAGGGAGGAACAAGAAGCATGAGTTGGAGAAGGCCCTGTGGGGAGCACCAGGTGAATGAACACTGTCATGCTCTGGTCTGAGCTGTGCTCACAGGGACAAAGGACATTATAAACACAAATCTTACAAACATTAAATTATACTTGAAAATCTGAGTAATATTAAAAACTGTAGCTAAACAGCTATTGAACTTAAGGGTGTGGCAGAAAAGGCCCCTCGGCCTCTGGCCCAGGTTGGTGAAATGCTTTGGGGGTGAGGTAAAAAGATAGGCAAGAAAGGAGCCGAGTGGGACAGTGTTGAATGAAGCACGCTCAAGGGCTAAGAACCAGACTGAGACCAGAGACAGGCACAGCTCACAAAAGGCTTCTGGTCTGACTGGCAAGGGCAGAACCTGCTGTCTCCGCAGAGTTGGGGTGACACTAGGTGGATGCCATCACCGGCTTTCCCCACTGACTGGGTGGACAGCGCAGTGGGCTCAAGCCCTCAATCTTCACGCAGGTAGGCATCCTCTTCCTGGTCAGTCCTCTCGTCACCTGCTTCCTGGGTTTTCTGGTGCAACTCTTGTGTCTGTGTTTCAGCCAGCTTGGTTTCGGCTTTCTGAGAGAGCTGGCGCACCTCCTGCACCTGCGACTTCACCAACTGGATGTGATTCCTGGCGGTTATAGAGGCCTGATCGGCTCCTGTGGAGAGAAGGGACAACGCACTGAGCACAGACAAATCCGACATGAAGGCCGGAAACTGCAGCCGTCCCTCATGAGGCTCCCTTCCCTGACACCCTGTTCTGGGTTCAGGTCTGCATCTTACTGCTTTTCAAGAGATGGGGTATTAGATGCTGGGGAGATGACTCATGGGCACCTGCTGCTCCACAGGACCCAAGATTGGGAGTGTTCATGTTGGGTGGCTCACAACCGCCTGTAACGTGAGCTCCTGGGGACCTGATGGCCTTTTCTAGACTATGGGCAACTACATGCACATACACTAAGTTAAAATAGACAAAAATAGTGTCCCCAGTACAGCCTAGGCTGGCCTTGAATTTTTCTGTCTCACCCTAGCTACACTTCCAAACTCGGGTGGGTGCTACATTTGAACGTTGTTCGTGTTCGGCTATCTCTGTATTTAAGGACTTGTTACATTTCTATTTCCCTTTCTTAGCTTGGGTTTGTTTTTTAAACAATTTTGTCTATGTGAGAGGATGTTACATGTATGAGGTACCTGCAGAGACCAGAAGAGGGCGTCAGACCCCTTAGATCTGCAGTTGCAGGTAGCTGTGGATGCTGGTCCTCTGAAAGAGGAGCAAGCACTCTTAACCACTAAACCATCTCTCCTGCCTCCTACCTAGAGCTTGAGATTCTGAAGAGCCAGGCTTTTGTTTTTCTGAGGTGTTAAGAAATCCAAGGCCAAGCCAGGCATTGGTGGTGCACAGCCTTTACTCCGAGCTCTCAGGAGGCAGAGACAGGTGGATCTCTGTGAGTTCTAGGCCAGCCTGGTCTACAGAGCTAGTTTGAGGACAGGCTCCAGAGCAATACAGAAAAACCAAAAGGAAAAAAAAAGAAGAAAAAAGGAGAAACCCAAGGCCCCCGCTGGGCTTGGTGGCTCCTAGCACCATGAGGCAGAGGCAGCTGATCTCTGAGTTTGAGGCCAGTTTGAGCTATAGGGTTCCAGGACAGCCAGGGATACAGAAAAACCCTGCCTCAAAAAACCAACAAGAAAACAAAACCAGGCCTTTGTACATGCCCTGCCACTGAGCTACATTTAGCCTTTTATAGAGCAGGGATGTAGAAGTGGGGTGAAGGGAGGGAAATAAATTAAATCTCAAGAAAGTGACATTGGCACACAATCACTATTTTTGGGAGGCAGGTCCACACTTTATAGTGTTAATCTTGGTGAGGAGGCTTAGTGGTTAACCACTTGACACCCAGATTCAAGGGCCAGAGTTTGGATACACAGAGCATGGGCATAGAGGCCAACTCTAATTGCAGCCTTGGAAGACAGATGGGGGAGCCTGTCTCTAGAGCAAGCTGGCTGGTGACACTCAGCACACTGGTTAGCTCTAAGTTGCCCGAGAGACCCTGACTAAGAGGATGATTTCCATGTCCTTGGTCCTGTGGGTCACAGAAGGTGCAAAGCTCATTACACTTGTAATCATATCCGTTTCTGCCTTGTTCCACTCTTCAGTTCCCTCTCCACTGTTAGCTTCTAAATTTTCAGTTTTCTTTATTTCTACCTTTCCTGTGCTGTTTGGCCTGCCCTGTCACCTGGCAGAATGCACTCAGGCAGTACTCTGGTCAGCCCAGGTTCCATGAGTACTAGTCTGCAGGCAGGTGTAAAGGACCCCTTTAAAAGTCAGACTCGTAGCCGGGCATTGGTGGTGCACAGCCTTTAGTCCCAGCACTTGGGAGGCAGAGGCAGGGGGATCTCTGTGAGTTCAAGGCCAGCCTGATCTACAGAGCGAGTTCCAGGATAGGTTCCAAAAGCTGCAGAGAAACCCTGTCTCGAAAAACCAAAAAAAAAAAAAAAAAAAAAAAAAAAAAAGTCAGACTCCTACCCACTCATGCTCTCTCTCTCCCTCCTGCTTTCAGTTGGCCACCAGCTACCCCCCTCTTCTCTCCGCCTCTCTTCTGTTCCCAGTGCCTCTAAGTCTCTTCTCCCCACTCCCCTAAGTAAACTCATTTAAGCTCTATCTGCCTGGCATGTTATTCCCTCCACCTCACCTGCTATGGAACACACTATGCTTTCCCATGTTGTCCCTTACCTTGGGACCCCCCCCACACAGAACCACCCCCCTTCTCTAGCTTTTATTCTTATAACTGACTAAAGAACAACAGTATTGTTTCCGGTATGCTTCTGTTTAGAATGTGGGAGTGCCTGTTCCACACCACAGTGTTCACACACATCAAGGTCGGAACAACTCCTTGGAATCTGTTTACTATGTGGGTTCTAGAAATTTAACTCAGATCATTAGGCTTAACCTGTTGAGCCATCTCGCTGGTTCTGGCACACCCTTTTAAGGTTTCTCTGTGTATCCCTGGCTGTCCTGGAACTCACTCTGGAGCAGGCTGGCCACAAACCCAGAGATCCACCTGCCTCTGCCTCTCCAGTGCTGGGGTCAAAAGTGTGTGCCACCACGGCCTGTCTGTACTTTGTTATTTTCTCCCTCAACTCTCCCCTCCCCCACGTCTTTCTGCAGCGTGTGAAACCAGTCCCTGTGACTTCTCAAAAAGCTTTGCCTGCTTTCATTTCCCCTCTAGTTCCCCAGTCAAACTTTCCCAAGTTTTAGAAAAGTGAGTTCTTTGACACTTGACTCCAGAGTAGTACTTCCTAGAGTAGAGGCTAAACCTTTGCAGCTAAATCAACTATCTGGTTCTAGTTCTTTCTAGTACCTTATAGGCTTTTTTCTGAGAACAATTTTGGCTCACAATTTAACATTTCTGAACAGAGAGTCTTTTCTAGCAGTGCTCCACTGGTGAGTTGTGGGGTTGCCTGGGAAGCTGCCCTCCACCCCTGCTGAACCCCCTTCCTCCTCCCCCCTTCCCCCCCCCCCCGTGTCTCTTTCTGTGAAGTTTAAGTGTGCCTGTTCTCCACTGTAGTACAAATCTGATTTGTAGCACTGACTTTCCAAAAACTAAAACCTGCTGAGAATGGAGTTTAAGGCCTACAGTCCTCTAGCCTCTGGGAGGCTGAGGCAGGGGGATCATTGCAAGCCTAAGGTTGGCTTGGGCTGCAGAGTGAGAGACCCTGTCTCATCTCACTACTTTAAAAAGTAATTTTTAGGAGTTAATGCTGTAAAGCCTTAATCTGATATCCTGATGTGAGAAAAAGTACACATCTGGTTTTGGAACTAGATCAGATTACATGTTGAACATTTAATCATTTCTCTTAGATCCACTGGACAGACACCGACAGTCAAATCACACATTGGTACAGAAAAGAGAAATACATCTCCTGTGCAGGGCAGTATCAAGAGGACAGAGGTCTCACCTCTAGCTCCAAGGTTCCTCTTTTTTTTTTTTTTTTTTTTTTTTTGAGACAAGTCTGTCTTTGTAGTCCAGGCTAGTCTCAGATCCAAGACATCCTCCTGCCTCAGCCTCCCGTGTGCTAGGATTATAGGCATGAACCACCACATCCATCACTAACATTTGTATACAAAGAAATAGGAAGCAAAGGCTCAATTTGTTCACTTCCTAATTGTAGCCTGGTGTCTTACGTGCTGGCACGGAGCCTGAGCAGACAATGCTCTGCTGGCTTCATCTCTCTGGCCTCTTAATTTAAAAGTTTCTATACAGAGGAGGACATGAGGTCCTAAGTGTAAAGATGAAACCCTTAAAGCTCTTCAGAGACATTTTGACAGCAGTTCTACTAAACTTTCTGGACACTTGCAGCCTGACTTCTATGAAGTCAGATGAAACATTAAAGCTTCACGTGGAAGCTTGGCTAGCCAAGGCTGTATAATGAGACCATGTCTCAAAACAATATAGAAAAGGGAAAACCCTGAAGTCAGTGGTTCTCAACAGCTTGGGGAGGAATACTTATAAATTTAATTTTTCTACTTACGAATTGTAAGTAGCAATGGCAATGAAAATTTGTTTGCGTTAAAGGGTCACAGCATTAGGAAAGTTGAGAACCACTGCTCTAAAAGATTTGTATCATCAATCAGGCAGTCTAACATAAGACCTCATTTAACATCTAAATTAGAAGTAAAAACAACAGCAACACCAATTCTTTCCTACCAGTCTGATAGGCAGCCTCTGCAGCCATCTCGGACAGGCTAACTGCAGTCATCCAAGTGGTTTCGAGCTTCATGTATTCCTGCTGCTTTGACGTCATCTGTTAAGACACCATGAAGGGGTTAACAAACAGTCTCAAGATAACAGTTTAGACACAATAATGACCATTATATGGAAATGGCTGACAAGTCTGCTCACCTCAACTCTGGCCCCTATAATCACCTGCCACACTTCATCTTCCTCCTGTGAGTTCATTTTCCCAAGTAAACTTGTATATTGTCGATACAGAGACACTAACGTATAAACAGCCTACAAACACAGAATAAAGATTGTGTAAAGTAAGTGAAGGACTCTGGCAGGACTAGTGACAGTCACACCTTCAAAAAACCATCAGTCCTGAGGTGGTAGTCCATACATGTAATCTCAACACTTATCAGGAGGATTGCAAGTTCAAGGCCAGCCTCAACTACATTTCTGGATTGGAGAGATGGCTCAGCAGTTAAGTCCTCTTCCAGAGGACCCTGGTTCAATTCCCAGCAACCACATGGCAGCCTTCAACTGTCTGAAACTATAGTTCCAAGAGATTTGATGCCCTCACACAGACACACACAAAGGCCAAACACTAATGCACATAAAAAAAGTCTTTTGTCCATTGGGCTGTGGGGATATCTTTTCTCAGCTGCTGCAAACATTCAAATGGGTGGGTGGGGGGCTTGCAGAGTTCAGTTTGCAGAGCACACACAGGCTGGGCAGCTCATAACCAGCCACCCCCACCTGCAGCCTCCCTGGGCACCTGCACACATGTAATAAAACCTCATTACAGTAAACCCTTGTGCCTCACCGAGTTGAAGTAGAGCCATCATCCAGGACTTCAGTTGTGTTTTTTGAGCCAGGTTCTCACTGTGTCAACTAGGCTGGTCTACAATTCAGAGGTCTGGCTGCCTCCTGAATGCTAGGATAACATGCAGCCTGCCTTTCAAAAAATTTGTTAGTAACAGAATCTCAAGTTCAAGGCCAGCATGGTCTACATAGTGAATTCCAGAGCTACACTGCGAACCCTGTCACACACAAAAATAGAAATTTTATTTGCCGTTCAGACAGATGCAGAGAAAAGACAGTATCTTGCTGGCTATGCTTCCCAGGATGGCTCCACAATCAATCTCCAGAGTAGCTGGACTGGAGTCAGGTACCACTGCATGCTGGCTGCCCTGGTAACTATCACAGACCCTCTTGAACCACATTGAAGCAGAGAAGATATTTTATGCACTAAGCTATCTCCCTTGACCTTCTCATCTTCTTGCCTCTTCCTCCCAAGTGCTGGGATTATGTGTGTACACCACCACGTTATTGAGAATAAAACAAAGACAAGCACTCTATATGGCCCTCAGCAACATTTTTTTTTTTTTTTAAAAGGGCCGGACTGTAATATTTGAGGCTCAAGAGCCTTATGACTTATGCTAAACTCTAGCAATACATAAGCCTGGCTAAGTTCCAATAAAATACTAACACAGCTATTAGACCGGATATGGTTGTGAGCCCCAGTTAAGAGGGGAGTGTGGATTGTAGCTCTGTAGTAGAGTACTTGCCTGGCACCATAAACCTCTGTGTTCCATGTCTTTGCACTGGAGGAAAAAAAAACATACACAAAAGGAGACATACCTTTGTATACTCCGTGATTGCTTCAATAAGAGCATACGTGGTTTGAGACAGAAAGGTGGAGGTGCTATCTGTCACCAGAGACACAGCCCTTCTCATTAATGCTTCATTACTAAGAGATTGAGGCTCCGATTTCTGAAAGACAAACAGCCACTCAATTTCCAACCTGAATAAAGCTTAAAATGAGGAGTTTGAAGTCTCAGAAGATCCTCCCTGCACTTCATGCAGGTGAAGCTCCGGCTGCATACTTCAATGTTCCTTTTCACTCACCTAGAGAACTGAGTGTCGAGGGAGCTGTGGCAGAGTCACAGGAAACTACCAACCCTGTGTTGAGGGGTTAGTAGCAAAGACTTCAGAGCTTTGATGTGAACCGAGCTGAGTCTAATGGTGAACGGGTGGACTTGGGATGACAATCTGGACAGGGGGAGATCTACTCACTCTAACCTCAGCTACTACACGGAAAATCAGAATTACAGGATTTGATCGCTATGACTCATCACCTAAATAACATTTTCCCCTTCTGGACAGAGACCTCGCTGTATCAAAACCACTGCTCAGTGGTCTACTTACTGTCTTGGTTTTGCTGCGTGGAGTGTAAAACTCCAGAGTAACCGTTAAAAGCAGCCTGACTATGAAATGGTTTTTAATACATGAATAAATCAAGAATGTCATCACATCTATATTTTATACACACCTCAAACTGAAGAGTACACACTGCTCGTAAGAAGGGAAATGCTGACATATCATCTTGAAAACCTGAGTTTAACAATGCTAACTTTACAATGTGTTTTCACTACTATTTACAGAAGATGAAATCTACACACAGAACAGCCAGGTAACTTTCCCTAGAAATCACACAGCTAGTTAAATCTCAAAGCAAATTCTCTCCAAAGCCTATACTCTTTTTTTCTGCTGACCCAACATGGTGTGAACTTGATCATCAAACATCAAAACAAGACACTAATCTCACAGTCAGAACGAGAAGGTGACTAGGAACTGAGAAACCCTTTAAAGGGAAGCTAAGGCTGAAATGCTAAGGTCCTTGGAAGGGAGGAAGTGAGCCCTGAAATCAAAGCCTGGTTGGCACGAGAGGAACGAAGGTGGTTGTGGACCCGAGTGCAGGCAGAACTAGGTCCACTTCAGCTGTCTGCAGCACATGAGTCCTGGGAGGTTGGAAGGGCAGACTGACACTGCAAGGGAGTGACTACAGCAGCTCTACTGGGACCTGGAACTCAGACAGCAGTGTATCAATACAGAAGGACTCACCCCACAATTCTCAGAGAAAAACAAAGAATGCAGGGGGCTGGCAGACTCAGCTGTGGAGGAGGCACCAGATGCTGAGCCAGACAACTCATTCAACCAGCTCCTGCAGTTATCCTTTAGTAACTCACCTACCACACACACACACACAAAAAAAACCGTAAGTTTAAAAGGGCTGTCTTGGGCTGGATGGCTCAGCTGTTAAGAGCACCAACTGCTCTTCCAGAGGACCAGGGTTCAATTTCCAGCACCTACATGGCAGCTCACAACTGTCTGTAACTCCAAGATCTGACAGACTCACAACATACATACAGGCAAAACACCAATGGAAATAAAATAAAAACAAAAGGGCTGTCTTGTCATCAGGATGACTGCCTTTAAGTGGACATTTTAGAGCTAAGGTTCATCAGCACAGACATGATAGGTGAAATGAGATAGATTGATACAAACCTCAGATGTTCAAAGTACTTGTAATAAATGAATAAAAAATAGAATTATTTTGATAACATGAGTTTACAGGTTTCTTATCTAGCTCTTCGCCATAAACATATCCAGTGACGAAAAAAACTACTTTCATGTCAGGCTGCTCACTGATATCTCCACTGAGCTCTCACTGACATGCTGTAACTTTCTTCCTATGGAGACCACTCCTCTACCCCAGCAAATGACAATTCTCCCTTGCTCCTCTGTTGCTGGCCAGCCTAACTACCACTATCTCATCTAGACTAATGATAATCTCAAAACCTATACAAGATTCTAATATTCCCAGAGCAAATCCTTTGTGGCCTCATCAGAATAAAACCCAAAGTCTCAGTGACCTTCAAGACCGAGGTCACATATCTGATCCCTGGTTACCTCAGTGGCCTCACCTATTAAACAGTTGCTCATGCCACTCTGCCCACCTTGCTTTGCTAAACACCACACAAAATTCAGCTTCTAGGCTTTTGCCTGTAATCCCTCTGCTGCAGGCTTCTCCCTTACATAGGTCTTTACCATGGTGCATTCTCTCGTTACCCAGAGTAGCTTTCTCGAAGCACACTTACATGAAGCGTCCCATCCCACAGCACCCTATTTCCTTCAGATTACATCACCAGATGATTTTTCTTTTTTGGTTTTTCAAACAGGGTTTCTCTGTGTAGGCCTGGCAGTCTGGAGCAGGCTTTGTCTGGGATTAAAGGTGTGTGCCACCAGGAAGCATTTTGTATTTTTCCTTTTTTGGTGTGCCTTTGAGAAATCTCAAGATGTAACTAACCCAAGCTAGCCTCAAACTTTGATTTTCTGACCTTAGCCTCCCTAGTGTTGGGATTACAGGACTACATTACCATACTCAACTTGTATTTGCTTATTTTCTACCCAGAATATATATTTTATAGTAGCCAGTGTATGGCACAAAAAGTTCATTAGTAAAGTTCTGCTGAATGACAGACTTCTGCCAATAGACTGTCGTATCCTTTTATTTCTATCCTTTCTGTTACCTAAAGTACTGTTTACCCCAGTACTCACTAGGTTTCCTGGCTAACTCTCTGGCCTCATCTATTAGGCAGTTCCTCTTTCCGGTACTAATCCTATCCTCCACTTCTAAGCTTATCTTTGAAGACAGGATACCTACACAAGTTCCTCAGTAAGACAGTCTACACTGGTGGGATCTAAAATGGTAGCCAGTGACAGCCAAGCAACCTCTAACTTCCTGAAAGTTCCAAGACAGTCAATGGATGCGATCTCCAGTGCCAGGGCAGTTGAGGATTACCTCAGTGAAAACTAAACCATTAAAAAAAACAACCAAGGGGCTGGAGAGAGAGTTCAGTGCTTAAGAGTACTGGCTGTTCTTCCAAAGGACTGGGGTTCAATTCCCAGCACCCACATGGCAACTCACAGCCATCTGTAACTCCAGTTCTGGAAATTCTGACACCCTCATGCAAACACACATGCAAGCAAAAGCCCCAATGTACACTAAATAAATAAATAAATAAACAAAACAAACAAACAAAAAAAAATACAAAAACAAGCCAGGCCCCGGTGGCTCATGCGGTTAAGCCCTACAGTCCAAGAGACATCTCTCTGAGTTCAAGGCCAGCCTTGTGCACAAAACTAGTTCAAGGACAGCCTGGGCTAAGTAGAGAAATCCTGTCTGGAAAAACAAACCAACCAAAAAGAAGTAGCATATGAATTCCCAGGAAATAGCCACCCATTCTCAGAAAAACATGACTACTGCCCCCCAATTTTAGCCTACCACCCCCCCAATTCCTTTACAATATATTTTTAACCTCTGGACCCCCAAAAGTTGAGACTCAACTCATTTGCAAAATTTGTCTTTAACTTCTGTTTGGTACTAAAAGGGGTAAACCAATAAAAAAGGCCCAGACCCTCACTCAGCCCCCTGCTTTAGCAGCCATGACAGGCTACAGAAAAGGCATATAGACCTTTGACTCAGCACATGACACAAAGAAACTTCAAAAGCCCTGGCCCCCAGGAGCCTAGGGTCAAAACTGAACATAAAGAAACTCCAGAACCCCCAGCCTCCTAGATACTTGGTTCCTGGGAACTGTTGGCCACAAAAGAAACTCCAGGGTAGACCAAAACCTCCCCTGTAGTCTCCAGGACACAATTCTAAAAACTACTGGTCTCTATGAATGACAGACCACTTGTGAGTAACAAGACAAAGCCAAAGCCATAGAAACCACAGAATGTTCCTCTCATCACTGACCAATGAGAATAATTGGTATACAGGTATTTCATGCCAAAATATGACTTTGAGAAATCCTTGATTGTTCCCCAAATGTCAACCAATCAGAAACCAACCTGTACCTAGTGATGTAATCCTGAGATTCCTCTGGTGGCTGCTATATCAGCCAACTAGAGGATGTGCCTGTCATGGATGGATGCATTTGCATCAGTGGGCCTGTCTCTCCCTGGTGGTCACTGGGGATCTTTGAGACTTGGGCACAACAGGTACACGAATAAGAGTCTACTTCCCAGTTCAACTGGCGATCAGCTTCTCTGGTTCCTCACTTCTTGGGTGGTGGGGTAGGGGTGATGAGCAGTAACTGCTGTTTCTACAACACGAGACAATGGAAACGGGAAATCTGCCCAATTCTTCGAAGATGCTGGTATAGCACAGTGAAGAGCATCATGGGAGGAGGCACCTGTGCAACTATGGCATCTTCACTAAGACCGGGAAAGAGTCACATGGCTATCCTTACCTGAGCAATAGGAACTGCACACAGGGTCATGCCGAATCCGGCCAACATCGTTTTGTGCCATGGTCTTATCAATGCTGAGAAACAGCGTTTCTTAGAGTTACTCGCAACGGGGACACGCTGTCCATACCTGGAAACATAAATCAAAATTTTAAACCACACATCAATCTGTCAAAGGCTCTTGGGTCTGCAAGAGTTGGACCAAGCAGGAAACTAAACAAGGAGGTAGCAGTCTTCCCAGAAAATAAACCACAGAAACGGGGAGGGGTGGTGGCAAATCTTTAATCTCAGCACTCAGGAATCAGAGGCAAGCGATTTGAGCTCCAGGCTCGCAAGTGCAACAAGCCAATGCGCTTGGGCGCTTTCCACTAGGTGGAGAAGTTTAAAAGTTGTCTCAGAGCTGCGTAGCAACCTGACGCCAAGATAAAACTCTCCGGCCGGCCCGCAGGGTTTAGCTTTGGGCCCCGGGCCTGGGTTCCAGGTGTCTCCAATGATGGTTGTTCTCAAAGCCCGGGAGGCAGCAGCTGCAGAGCACTACGGGCGTCGGGTGCCCGAGTGTGCTGGGACGTGCGCTAACAACGCGCTGCCTGCCCAGGCCCGCAGCTACCGCCGTGGCCCGTCTGTCCCTCCGTGTCCTCCGGGACCTTGAGCTGACTGGAGGCTCAACGGCCCCATAAAGGCAGCCGGGCTTGGAGGACCCGCTTTCGTGAGCCTGTGATGGAGGACGTGGGGGACGGAGGTGGCGTCCACCTTAAACTTCGGAGGGAGGCGGGACGCAGCGGCCCGCGGCCTGGGGCCAACGCGCTGGCCGGCGCTACGGGCCCGGCTCCTCCCCGCCGCTGCCCGCCCTCTGCTGCCACCGCCCTACCTGAACAGGGAGGCTACGCTCCGGGACATCCAACTTCTCAGAGCCGCCATCCCGCGGCGGACGGACGCTGGACGCACACGCCGGAAGTGACGCAGCATAGCGAGTAGACCGGCGAGCGCGGCTGGCTCCAGTGAGCCCGGGCCTCATGGCCACGCCCCCACAATTGCGATTGGACAAGACAGATGGGCGGGGCAGGAGCGCTAGGAAACGGCTTTAACGGTCACACCTGGCGTTCAACCGCTCGGACTTCGGCGCCGGACGCGGCTGGTCCGGGGGCTGAGGGTTGCTGAGCGGGGTCGCGCGCCCTAACGCGTGCGGTGGGCTGGGACCGGGGAGGGAGGGGCCGCGCCTGGAGAGGGGAAGCTGCTCCACCGGGAGATGCTGGGTCGCGGCGGGGCGGGGCGGGGCGGGGCGGGGCGGGGTGGGATGGGGCGAGCCGGGGCGCTGTCACTTCAGCACCAGGAAGTAGGTGGTCCAGCCGGCCAGCAGCAGCGCCCCGATGAGCACCGTGTAGCTGAGGAGCACGAAGGCGAGCAGCTCCCGCAGCAGCTGCAGCACGTGGACGGTGGACGAAGCTGGCATCGTCCTGCAGAGACCTGGAGCCTGAGCACGCACAGGGTGCATGAGGCGGGACAGCACCCTTTCAAAGCCAAAGAAGCTCAAAGTGCTGTTCCGCACTAAAAAAAGTGCCTTCTAAAGCAGTAGTTGCCCTCTCTCACTGGCACCTGAGCTCCAAAAGGGGAAAAAGCCTGGCCTTTCCCAGTCCTTCTCAGACCTGACTTTGCATTAGACTTCAACCCGGCCCTCTCTTGCCACCATCTCTTGCATTTTTAATGCAGCTGGTGCGCTAATGGGCTGGTGGAGGTCAGCTTTATTTTCCTTTTACTCAAACTGCAGTCCTGTCTGTTGGCCTGCCTCGGAGTGGAAGAGAAGCAGTGGGCCATTGCATATTGCCCCCATCATTCTCCTGACCCCAGGATTGTCGATAGTAGACCTGAAGGATTTGCTTGCGCACGCGCGCCCCAGTATACTCGCCTAAGAGCCCGTCAGGATTAAAACCGAAGGGTGCCAAGTGATAGGTACCAATTTTATCTTGGGCTCACATCCTTCCCAATATGCTTTACACACCCCATCCTTGCAAATTTCACCTCAGAGTCACAGACCCTTTCATCTTCATTGCTGCCTTGTCTAGCAGATCCCCTCAATGCTAGCCGCTAGCTTCCCACTCTTCCCCATTTACTCACTTGGCAAAGTTTCCACGACTCCTCCTCCGCCACAGCCTCCAAAGCTGTTATCTGGTCTGGAGAAGGAAGACTTGTGCACACTCCTGCGATCTGGGGAGAGCTGAGAGGTCTTCAGACAGCTAGAGCACTCAACTACTAGGTGTGGTCTAGCGACCAATAACAACCTCTGTGTGGTTTCCGAGCTCCCAGGGAGCTGCGCACAGGCAATCCTAGGCCAGGCGGGGCATTGGCAACCCTGCCCGCCCTCTGTCTGTGTCACCTCCACAGTCAACGGGATGAGGCATCAGCAGTTTTCAAGGCTCCTGACTTAAATGAGCTTAACAAGTGGTACACCCGGGGGTATTTCAAGCCCCTTCTTGTCTTGCTTGTCTAAACCCTCCAGATGGGCCGTACTTCCAGTGTCTAAAACAGAACCACTGTACATTCACTAGCCTTAGTGTGCTGTCTTAATAAAGGCAAGTGTGAACATGCACAAGTGTATGTGAGAAACACAGATGATAGCCTCAGAGTGCATGGGCCTGATTTACAAAGTTTAGCAGTTTGCAAACTCATTACCCAGTAACCTTCCTGGTGTAGCCACTTCCAAGTTCAGCTGCAGAAGTGAGGCAACCAAAGGACGCAGCTGGGAAAGAAAAAAACACTTTCCTGTTCCCCGATGTAACAACGAAGGGAAAGCAAGCACAAATATACAGCTCATTCTTCTGCTTATACTAGATTATGAAGACTATTTTTTGACCTTTGGAAAAGCAGGCAGTGTGGACGTCAACCCTTTTATAACATCATCATCCAGAAAGCAAATGGCCCCTTAATTTAATCAGGATCTCTTATTATCAAATCATTGCCTCGGTGAAGCTTTGCACGAAAACAGGGGCAGAACATCAACCCAGCAGCTCAGGAAGCCAGTGAGTAGTAATTGCTCCCCCAGAGGACTGGACATCTGAAGGGCTCGCATGTCCTGCCCTGTCACAAGATGGGAAGGATGGCTAAGATGGATACTGTAACCCAGACCAGAGTGGCAGGTGAAACGGACAGGTGGTTCAGAATAAGCCTCTCTTCCCTCCTCACCTTCACTCTTCAAATGGATGCCTCAGGCAGTTATGTGGTTTATACTCTGTAGCATCTACAAACCTGCCGGGCTGGGGTATTTTATAGCAATGGAGTAACTAAAGCTAACAAGTACTCCACGGGGGCTGACAAGATGGCTCAGCAGGTAAAGGAGCTTGCCACCAGGCCTGACAACCTCAATTCGACTCTCAGGACTCACACGGCAGAAAGAGAATTAACTCCTTGAAAGCTATCTTCTGATTTCTGTAAGTGTGAATGTGTATACACACAGATACAATATAAAAAAGAACTACAATATGGAGTAAAATTCACATTAATACATTTATGAATAATGAGAAAGTTTACATACGGTCTTTTCCTTCACTGCCTGACAAGACAGAAGACAGCCTCTGTCATATGACTAAATACACTAGAGACAACACTCTATATGTTTGCATTCCTGTGCTTTGTTTTTGATTTTCGAGACAGAGTTTCTCTGTGTACCTTTGAAACCTGTCCCAACTCACTCTGTAGACCAGGCTGGCCTCGAACTCATAAAGATCTACCTGCCTTTACTTCCCAAGTGTTGGGATTAAAGGCGTGCATTGCCGCTGACTAGCTACTTTGTTATCTTTTATCATAGACCCTCTTCCCCTTTGCTTTAGATACTTAGTTCATTTTGCTGTTTAAAATTTTGCAGCATGTAAATCCTGGCACTTGGTAGTCTGAGGCAGAAGGACTGAATTCAAGGCCAGCCTGGGCTACAGAAGTTGTTTGCTTGAATTTAACTTCTCAGAACACAAACATTCCCTTCTAGGGTCAAGCTACTGGAGCCTTTTTTTTTTTTTTTTTTTTTTTTTTCTTCATGTGGTTCTGAGGATTAACCAGGGCCACATGTGTGTTCAGCACCCGCTAAATGAATCACCCACACACACTTTTTTGGGACATGATCTCAATTATAGCCCACCTGGCCTGGAGGTGTCAGTCTTTCTGCCTCAGCCTGCTGACGCTCACAGGGACGGTGTGCCTGTGCCCAGCTTCTCCATAGCCTTTATGTACAACTGAGAACAAGGCAGACCAGCCCACAAGGGTCAATCACACCCCAGTTCCAGTACAAGCACAGCTGGAATGGAATAGAGTTTATATGAAGCCTTCCTGGCTCTCAAGCCCCATTTTAATCCCCCTCCTTTGACCATTTCTCTCTTGCTCTACAATCAATCCAGTTAACACACTTGCTTTCTGGGTTCAAGGCAACAGAAGATGTGTAAATTAACTGCACCTATGTAGATGTGTTTAATCAGGATGTCTGCTACAGTAAAATGGTCTGTCTGTCTAACCAACTCAACAAAAGTGCAGACGTGAACACCTCTCTCAGAATAGGTATCCATTCCCACACTCTGTCTCGGTTACAGTGCTCTTACAAGGCAAAGGCAGCCACCGAAGGGCATGAGATATCATTAGCACCATTTCTCTTTGTATACAAATGATGCAAGTGTGCGCTTATTAAAAAGTCTCCTGCTCCACACAGTTTTGGAGCTGACCTTGCTATGCTCTGAGCAAGCAAATACAGACACAGGGACAAATGCAGACACATGAGATAACAACTAGGCAACTGTTCACGGGACAGACATCCCAGCGGAAGAGACTTGACCAGACTTGAACTGACTCCTGGGAGTGGAAGGCATTGAGGCCAAGGTGGATTGCATCCCCAGGCAGCTGACAAGCCACTGCTGGCTCAAAGGTAAAACCAACTCCCTGGGAGAACAAGAGCCTGAAAGAGAATCTTCTAAGCCAACCCCCTCCACCACTCCAAATACGCATATCAAGGATAAATGAATTCTATGCCACCCTTTATTCCTGTTTGTTGTTGTTGTTGTTTTTTTTAGTGTGCAATTTCTTTCACATATAAAGTGCAGTGTATTGTTCTTAATTCCACATGAAGAAAACTTGTCTTCATAGAAACCACAGCTGGGATGGGACCTGGACAATGCTGAGACGGGCTAATTTTTCTGACCACTTGGGTGATGACAGAAATGCTTGGCGCCCTTAACTGCCCTGGATGCTGACAGGAGGCGGGTGGAAACGCGTGAACTCCCCGCTTCACCGACACGCCTGCTCGCAGCAGTGGTCACTCCCTCAGCAGGAAAGACACCTGTCACTGCTGGACTGAGACTAAAGGCTGACCACAGTGGCTGTGGTCACCAGGCCAGGGACTGAGCAGCAAAAGTAATGTGTGAACTTGAGTACAGCCTGAGTACTAGAGAGGTGCATATGGCAGATACCATGGTAACAGAGTGGCATGAAGAAACTTAAGAGCTGCCACTGCTCACAGTTAAGGTCAGCTGGATGCTGGGGCCACAGAGGACATGGAAGAAAACTGAAGCTCCAGCAGCAGCATCTACACCAGTGTGGTGTGTCTTGGAGTTATCGTTCAGTCACCAGTGCCTCTGCTAATACGCAGAAGCTGCCTGGTAATCAGCTCCATCTTCAGCAGAGAGTCCCTTGTAGGCAGAGAACCTGCACAGCTGAAGCTAAGTCAGAGAGGGCAGAGACTTCATTACATCAAGAAGCTCCTCCATTTTTCAGAAGGGGAAAAAACAAAAAAAAACAAAAAACACTTGCCTTAGGAATCAAACTGGAAAAGACTGGAGGCACAAATGTGCTTTTATCTGCAGGAAGAGCAGGCAATGCTGGCTTAGTCCTCAACACAAAACCATGATCCTGGGCATGGTGTGTCTTCCAGAAGACACTGGGAATTAGTGGTCCAACTTGTGACTTCTGTTTTCGTATTTACCCCCAGGCTTTGCTGTTTAGTTACTGTGCACATTTGTGTGGCTGTTGGGGCTTTCCACCCACATTCTTAACTATTTCCAGAAACTACTAATGAAGACTGTAAGCTTGAAAACTCCAAATCAGAGTCTCCTTTATTTTGGTAAGGGAGGCTTCTGTCTGAAACTCACTATTCAGTCCAGGCTGGCCTCAAGCTTGCAGCAATCCTCCTGCCTCTGTCTTTCTCTTAAGTGGGGGGTTATAGGCATGCGCCACCACACCCAGCTCAGTGTTACCCAAGGCGATCCTCCTTTCTTTAGGATTAGGGAGCACACAGATAAGCAGGAGGGAGGATGAAGCATCAATGTGAGCTTGTGGCTGGGCTTTACATCCTTCCAGTGACTTGTTCACAGAACAGCCCATTCCAAGCTGATTTGTCCAGTCTCCTCTCCACACCCTAGAAAGGCTTTTCCATGAGAGCCTCTATCCAGCTGCTTCCATTCATCAGTTTAGTGGTTGCAATTACATACTCAGTGCCTCCATCTTCCAACTGGGAGAGAAAGCGCAGGGCAGCGATTTCAGCAAAGGTGACACCCCCGAGGAAAAATATCAGCGTGACTCTGTTTTCTCCTGGTTGGCCTAAAATGCAAACATTGCACAATTCAAAAATATCTATTACTGCTGCCTCTTGAAATAATTTCTTTCATTTAAAAGTCTATAAAATGGCTGAAGAGAGAATTAAGAATGAGTATTGTTTTGCTGAGGAAGAGTTTAATCTTCCAGTACCCACATCAGGCACCTCACAACGGCCTGTAACTCTAGCTTCAAAAGATGCCTCTGACTTCTCTAGGCGGATGTGTGCACACATGCTACACACGTGCACACACACTAATCATAGATATATTTTAAAAACCAAGAAGTATAAAAAGGTCAAGTGCATCTTGGCACAGCAGGTTCATTTGAGACCCTGGAATGCCAATTTTGATCTTAATACCGGAGTCCTGGGGGTCTCAGTGCAGACTGAAAGCTGCTAATCCCAAGGGCACAGCACAGCTCCAGGCTTGCTGACTCCACTGCCTCTTAGGAACTTCATAAATGTCTTTTACAAAGCAACTGCACAACACGAGCTACAGCAGCACAGACTGTGGATGGGAGATGAACTCACGTTTCTTCTGCAGCCCGGTGGGCAGCGGCTGCCGTTCTTCAAAGTGAGGCCCCGGGAGAATGCGGAGGACTTCCTCGATGCTCCGCCAACCCGGCCGGGAAAGGAGTTGAGCGAGTCGCACACTGAGTGGGGCATAACCACTGTACACATAGGATATGTCTGTGGGATTCTGTCAACAGTTAAAGAAAAAACATCGATTGAGAGCCACCCCTGGTCTATGACACACGGAGACCAGAAGCCCTCAGCCACACAGTTCTCTCTGGTTCCCATGACAAGTTTCTCTAATAACTCCTGTTACCTGCCCTTTGGGCCTCAGGTGGTATGATGGTTGCTAATTGCAGAATGGACCTCTGAGCATGAGTGATTACATTAGGGGAAGGGCTTCTTAACTAATAAGTGTGAAGAGTGTGACGTGAGCACTGGCAAGCACAGGTACGTTCACTCCTCTCTGTCCTGACTGGATGTGACATGCCTGGCTCCCTCAAGCACCTGCTGCTGTGATTTTCCAGCTATGATGGTCTGTAGCCTGGGACTGTAGGTGGCAACAGTTGGTGAGGGTTCTACGATGCAACACCTCTTGCTGGACCACTCTGTTCACATCTTTATTAATCTCAAGCTATCCAATCTGACAGCATTCTGTCTGTTCTGGACAGGGATGAACACAACACATACATGCATTGCTTTTCCGGAAGCACAGGGAGATGATTAGAAAAGAGTAAAGAGTTAAGAGTAAGGGCACTTGCTGCCAAGTCTGGCAACCAGAGTTCAAGCCCCAAAACTGACAGGGTAGAAGGAAAGAACCAACTCTTTGAAGTTGTACATGCACGCACACACGCATATGACTAAATAGGTCAATGTGAAGAGATACCTAGACGTTGGAGCAGATCAGATGTGGAGATTATGGGTGTATCCCATCACAGTGAACTACAAGAATCAAGCACAGGAACATATCTTACTTGTTCATTGACATCATCCATCCAGAGCCGTAACGTTTTTCGAATTGTTGGGTAATTGTTTCTGCCTCCTGTCTGAGCCTTTAGCAGGCCAGCCTTCTCCAGGTTGTTCAAGGTCAGTATGTGCTCATAGCCATAGGTCTGAAGGAGAAGGCATTAGGCAGTGATGTTAGGTCAGGCAAAGGGCTTCTGCAGATTTCCAAAGAGGAGTCCTCCAAAAAAAAAAACCAATGTGCTCTGTACCCCAGGGCTCTTTAGCAAAGTCAGGGCTGAGTATGGCAAGTAAGTGTAAGGGACTCAGAGAGCCCGCTCACTGAGACGCTCAGACTCTTGCCCACCAATATTAATCCTGCTCTTTGTCTCATGAATGATTTAAGATTTTTACTTTAAAGTCATCATTTATGACCCAACCTGAAAATTAAAGAAATATCTACATACAGTATATACTTAGCTCCAAAAAACCATATGTGCACACTGGTAAGACCTCTAGACACACTTAAGAACAAAAGAAGTTAATGGTAAAATATTGCACACAGAATTGCATTTCTGGTTTTTAAGAGACAAGTAATGGCTAACCCTGTGAAGCACCTATGGTGCTTTGCAATCATCAGCTACCAGCAAACTGCCGCATTCAGCTATGCTAATCCTGAAGCAATACTGCCTCCAAGCCTGTGTCCAAAAACATCCCGTGTGCAAAGAAAAAAAACAGGAGTAGGAAGGAAGCAAACCAGACTGCTGGCCTGCACTGACCGGGGGAGAGGAAGGGAATCGAAGCAGGGCTGGGGAACAGTCTGTTTGCTCCAAGTATTCTTGCATTACCGGAATCTCATGAGAATTTCTGTCACTTGTATAACTAAAGAAAGAGGAAAACAAAATCCACAACAACTAATAATATATTGAGCACTAATTGGTAATAGAAAATAAATACTGCCTGAGACATTCAAATGGCAGAATTGGTTTTTTTCCAGACAGGGTCTCAAGGCACAGCCTTGGTGGCCTCTGCCTCACAAGTGCATGTGTACGGCATGCTGCCAGGCTATGGCAAACACTATTATTATTATTGTTATTTTTAATAGCAGTGGGTGTCCCCCTCCTATAAAGTCTAACAAGCTAAGCCTGTTAAGGAACAATCAAAAATTTGTCCCATACATGGGCCCATAGACATACACATATATGCAAATCAATCAAAGAATGCAATAAAACTATTTTTTACAGAGGCTAGCGAGATGCCTTATCAGATAAGGGTGCCTGCCGTCAAGCCTGATGACCTGAGTTTGATCATGGGTCCATATGGTGGAAGGAAAGAGCTCTACCTCTGTCGTCCTCTGTCCTCCACAGGAATGCCATGGCATATATGCATGCAAAATACACATGTGCAAACACACATAAGCATGCTATATAATTAAATGCATAAACATAATTTTAAAATGTAGAATAAAAAGACAATGATAGACAGGGCTTGTGGGAAGGCTCAGAGGGTGAAGCACCTGCTACCCTGCCTGGTGAGCCACAGAGAAGTAGCAGCAGACCCTGAAGTTGCCCCTCTCACCCTGCCCCCCCACCCTGCCCCACAAGCAAAAGCAAACAACAGGTTCTAAAAACAAAACAAGATCATGTTCACGATACACTAAAGTTATATCATTAAAAGACACTTTCCTTCTCAGCAAATAAACATCTTTAGTTTTCTACCTGGAGAATTTCCCTTTTGTAGTAGTCCAGAACCTTCTGCTTGAGCCCACTATTGCACACAGACTGAAGGCAAACCAGTCTCAACACCTTGATGAGCGGATGCTTCTGGGCAATACAGTCCTCGATATAATTGTTGACCTAGGAATGAAGCATAAACAGACTAACGAGCCAGGTGGTGGTGGTGCATGCCTTTAGTCCCAGCCACGGGAGGCAAAGGCAGGTGGATCTCTGTGAGTTCGAGGCTGATCTGGTTTAGAAGAGCTAGTTCCAGGACAGCTTCCAAAGTCACAGAGAAACCCTGTCTTGAAAAACAAACAAACAAACAAAAAACCCAAACAGACTAACTGGTCCAAGGACCTAAAATAACTTGACATCTTCTCTATTCAACTAAGTCAGTGATTCTTAATCTGTGGGTTGAGACTTTCACAGGGGTCACCCAAGACCATCTGCATATCAGAAGTTTACAATCCACAACAGTAAAAGTAGCATGATTGCAGTTATGAAGTGGCAAGAAAATGATGTTATGGTTGGGGTCACCTCATGAGGAGCTGTATTGAAGAGCAGCAGCATTAGGAAGGTTGAGGACCACTGCTCTCGGCATACACGAGGGAGGAGGGCTGTTTCCTTACTTCCTAACACCTGCTGAAGACATCTCCCCTCATCCCTCTGCCCCCAACCTGATGGCCACCACATAAACACCAGCATGAGGTGGTGAGGACATCACTGGCCAATCAAATCACCTGCTCAGACATATCTACTTCATGGACAAACAACTTAGTGGCTGCCAAATGTTTGGGGTTTATAAGACTTGGTCTATCTAAGAAAAACAAAACAAAACAAAAAACAATTTACCTAGTATGAAGTGATAAGAATACTTTTAAGAAATAGGAACCTTTGTAAATTGAACAATTAATTAATTTTAATAATGATGAATATTTAAAGAATTACATGACAAAATTTTTAAAAAGTTAACCTGGGTTTGTTGTTATTGTTTTGAGATAGGGTCTCCTGTAACCCTGTTGGCCTCAAACATGCTATGTAGCCAAAGCTGGCCTTAAATGCCTCCATCTCTCTCAAGAGCTAGCATTACAAGTATGAGCCACCATGCCCAGCTGGTTGGTGTGTGTGTGTATGTATGTGTGTATGTGTGTGTGGTGCTCACCTTCAGTCTGAGCACTCAGGAGGCAGAGGCAAGAGGATCTGAGTTGCAGGCTAGCCTGGTCTACATATCAAGTTCCAGTCCAGCCAGGGCTACTTGGGTGAGTTTCAGTCTCAAACAATAACAACATAGACAACAGCACAATGGACCGCTTATCTTAGGCGATGGACTCCCAGCTCTGGGGGAGAACAGGTTCCCACATACCTTGTCAGTGTCTATCCCGGACATGAACTCTTGCTCCACTGTTAACTTATCAAAGAAGTCTTCAGAAGCTAAAATGTAATCAGCAAATTTTTGACTTAGAAACTGCACAGTGTCAGCTGGTTTAAGGGCTATGCTTCTGGTCATAAGCAGGGTTAGCAAATGAGGCAGAGGTAACCAGGAAACTGGAGCACTGAGCCTTACACTTGCATATGGCTCCTTTGAGGTCCTTTGCTCCAGATGCACAGGTCAGGACTGGGCAGGAGTCTCAACTCAGTGTCAGCTGGGCACTCAGGTCCCCAGGACAAGCTTCCTGTCAACTGACTCGCTGCCTCTGACAGCTGGGATTAAAGGCGCATGTCACTGGTTTAGTTAGTTTTTGAGGGAAGGTGTAATGTTGCCCAGGCTGGTCCTGAACTCATTATAAACTGAAAATGGCCTTAGGATCCTCCTGCCTGTGATGGCCCAGTGCTGGTGTTACAGCACATGCCACCAGGGCAGGTAAGCAAGCTACTAACAGCTACAGGTTCTTTTCCTCCTTGTCTGAGAGTCTCACAATGTAGCTCAAGCTGTCCTTGAATTTATGGTCTTCCTGCCTCAGTCTTTCAAGTGCTAGGATTATGGGTACTGTTCTTAAGGGGACCAAAGCTAGAGTCCCAGCACAACCCTAGAACTTCATACTGTTCTAATTAAATAATCCTTCACATAGGAAAACATCATGGGAAAAACATTAAATGCTTCATATTATGGAGTAATCTTCTGGGTATGTGCATGTGAGTGCACCTGCCCTCAGAGGTCATGTTTTACTTCATGATTAAAAAATCATGTTTTAGAGATATATGTGTGCCTGAGCGTGTCTGTCCATGGGTATGTGCATGTGAATGTATGTGCCCTCGGAGATCAGTGGGATCCCTGGGTAGAGTTATAGGAAGCTGGGAGCCACCAGCTGTGGAGGGACCTGAACTGGGGCCACAGCAAGAGCAGCAAAAAACGGTAACTGCAGCCGGGACAAACATTCCTAACTATTAACAGTCGTATACTTAGTCCGGTAAAGTGGTCAAACTTGTCATCCCATCCCAGAGAGGTGCAGGCGGTCATGCCAGACCTGGCTATATATCAAGTTTAACGCCAACCTGGGCTACATGAGACCCTACCTAAACAAAGTCACACACTTCTGTGACATGTGCACGATGTGGCTCAGTGGTCAAGCACTTGCTTCACATTAAAAAACCCTGGTTTCATCCCTAGCCCTAAAATAACAATAAATACACAAAACACAGCTTAGCCTTCCCAAAGAAGGACCAAGGTGCCGACAACCAGGATGCCAGACAATGTATACACAAGCCAGTGTCAGATGGGAAGACCCACAGCCTAGGGTACTTACTGGTGACGTCTTTGATTAACTCCGCAATTGAGGTGTGGTTGGCGAGAGAGCCCCTGGCAGCCTGCATGTGGGGCAGCTGGGAAACGAACTGCTTAATCTCCCCCACTGTCTTGGCATTGTGCCTCTCCTGCAACAGAGCACAACAGACTGCAGCAGGAAAGCGGAAACGCAAACCAAGTCAAACCTCCAAAGTCATAGGAAAGGTAAGTGCAGTGACATGGTGCAGCTCCATCCGAGGACCTACAGGGCACGTGCTCGCACAGGCACGTACGCCCCCCCCACTTAAAAAAAAAAAAAACCTCAAATTCTACATAGAAGGAGCAACAAACAGCAGAAAATGTCTAGGTCAGGCATGCCAGAACTGATTTATAATCCCAGGATTTGAAAGACAGAAGGATCAGAAGTTCAAGGTCACCTTTTGCCATGAGACCATTCCAGAATTCAAAAACAAACAGCAAAAAAAATTTCTATTTAACAGAAATTTCTAGCATTAGATCTCAATAGTCAATGTAGCTCACAAACACAGTAAACGTCAACTATTGATAGGAATGCTCTTATTTTTTTTATTTTTATTTTATGTGCACTGGTGTTTTGCCATGGGTTTTGGGTGCCTGGAACTGGAATTACAGATAGTTGTGAGCTGTCATGTGGGTGCTGGGAATCCAACCCAGATCCTCTGGAAGAGCAGCCAGTGCTCTTAACCACTGAGCCATCTGTCCAGCCCCAACAAGAATGTGTTAGTGTCATCCAAAACTACATACAGGAATATGGAGCTAATCTACAGGTAGAATCCCTAAGAAAGGTAATACCCAAAACCAGAAAAACGACAACAAAAACAAAAAGCAGTTTTCAAAAACTCTCCTGGTTTCTGTCTCCAGAGTCTAAACAGTCATTTTGTAAGTCTACCCAATCTTCACATTTCGAAACCAGCTCAACAAGAACAAACTGGTTAACGATCAAAGGAGGCAGGGAAGTGGTAATGAAGCTGTGGGCGGCTGGGGATTCCAATCTCATTATCATTTATCACACATGGGGGCTCCCTGCCACCCTGGCCAGACCTCATGTGCTCTCCTCGAGCTGCATACTCCATGTCCATGTCTAGTTCAGCTGGCATCCTCTAGGGAGGAGGGAAGGATAGAACCGAAGGTGGGAACTCGTTTATGAACACACCTGTGCTCTCTCGTGCCCTAAAAAGAGGAACCCTTACCACAGCGCTGCTGTTAGAGGCCTGAGAAAAGTTTTAAAATGAGGAAAGCCTAGGCTGGTGATGCAGCTCCAGGGTACAGCAGTGTCCAGCAGGACCAAGGCCCTGGGTTAAATCCCTAGTACTAGAAAAAGAAATGAATGAATGAATGAATGAAGAAACAAATAGATTTTAACGAGAGAAACCCTTAGGTTCTCTTGAATCTGCAGCTATTAGAGTGAGACAGGTGTGCTATAGCCCAGTTTCTTAAAAATAAAAGACTTATTTTTAATTATGTGCATGTGTACACGTGTGCATGTGTGTTTGTCTATGTGTGGATATGTCCATGTGAGTTCAGGTACTGGAGAAGGCCGGAAGGGGGCCTCAGATGTGCTGAGTGCTGGGAATTGAACTCGGGTCCTCTGCAAGAACAGCCCTCCACGGCTGAGCCGCCTCCCCAGTCTCAGCCCAGCTCCTAAGCTGTGGTCACAGTCCACACAAAGCTGGGTAAATGAACATGGGGGTCACAAAAGTCAGCGTCTGAACACGAGTTGTCCACCAATGAACTGGAACACATTTCTGGCAGTACTCACTGAAGCCTTGGCCCTGAACAAACACGGAGCCTTTATGGGCGTGTGTCCTCACGCCACTGCAGCCTCAAATGCTGCCCAAACACTGAGGCTCACACTCAGTGCTACTTCGTACTATGAACTGCAGTGTCTTCACCATGTGAAAGATTTTTGCTCTCATAGAAATATAATTGTTTAATTACAAAAAATTTACTATTTTCCTATAACAGTTCCAGGCCAGGGCTACATAGTGTACATAATGAGACAAATTTTATATATAATTTTGAAAATGCTTAGCTGAGTATGGCGGTGATGGAAATGGTTCTCCTATTGATTGATGAATAAAACACTGTTCAGCCAATGAGGCAGGAAGATGGGTGAGGCTAGGAGACGAGGAGAATTCTGGGAAAGGTAGGCAGGCCCTGGCAGAGTAGAGATGCTGCTGAAGGAGTAACAACATGCCAGGGCATTACTGGGTAAGCCACAGTCTTGTGGCAATACACAGAATGATAGAAATGCGTTAATAATTAAGACAGAGCAGGCTTGGCGTTGGTGGTGCATGCCTTTAATCCCAGCACTCAGGAGGCAGAGGCAGGCAGATCTCTGTGAGTTCAAGGCCAGCCTGGTCTACAGAGAGAGTTCCAGGACAGGCTCCAAAGCAAAACAACTGTCTCAAAAAGAAAAAAAAAAAAAAAAATTAAGACAGAGCTAGCCAATAAGAAGCCCTAGCCACTGGTTTAGGGAAACTCTATAACATGGCAGTGTACACCTTTAATCCCAGCACTAGGGAGGAGGAGGCAGGCAGATCTCTGTGAGTTTGAGGCCAGCCTGGTCTACAGATGGAGTTCTAGACAGGCAGAGCTACACAAAAAAAAAAAAAAAAAAAAAAAAAAAAAAAAACACCCTGTCCTGACTCCCCCCCCCCAAAAAAAACAAAAGCCAACAATAACAACAAAAAACAAAGTGAATACTTCCTAAGAAGTATCCCACTCTGAGGGTGGGATGATTTCTAGCTTCCATATGCACACGTTGGCAAACATGCATGAGTTGGCAAACGTGTGTGCACCTGTGCGAATTCTCTCCCTCTCCCTCCCTCTCTCTCTCTCCCTCCCTCTCTCTCACACACACACCCCGAACGGGGAGAACCTTCAATTTCCAATGATTTCTCTTTTCTTCCTCTCTGTTCCCCCTCCCACTTTTTTTCCAGACAGGGTTTCACTTGTAGCCCTGGTTGGCCAGAGCTCCATCTGCCTCTGCCTATCAAGTGCTGAGATTAAAGTGGTGTGTGAGCATGCCCGGTTCCAAGTATCTCTGAAATAGCCCTAAACACACTGCTGCCATTCTTTACTGTAGATTATATGGGAAGGGGCAGTGTCAGCACTCACAATTATAAAACAAAGTATCAATCCACTTTTTTGTTTGTTTGTTTGTTTGTTTTTTGGTGAGACAGGGCTTCTCTGTGTAGCCCTGGCTATCCTAGAACTCCTTTTGTAGACCAGGCTGGCCCTAAACTCAGAGACCATCTGCCTCTGCCTCCCGAGTGTTGGGCTTAAAGGCTTATGCCACCACCACCCAGCCAATCTACTCTTAAACCACTGAAGATGCCCTATGTCCGAGTATCAAATATTCAGCCAAGATTCAATGTTTACATAGGAGTCAGCAAGCACAGTCACCTCCTATCATGCAAATTTGCTTCTGTCTTCAATAGTTGGTAAAATTATGAGCCTGTCAAATAAATTTCCTTATGCTTTGTTAGTTTGGTGTGTACCTGTCTTACAGACAGAACATCTCAGGCAAAAAGAAGTCTGAGCTGCAAACACTCCTGCTATGACCAGGCCCACTGTTCCCTCTGCACTCCCAGGGGTGGGGTGGCGGCCAAGGCTTGCCTCACCTCAAAGGCTGCGGAGATGATCTTCGCTTTCTTGCTGAGCACAGAGCCCACAGCGTTGAAGTTCTTGTCTCGGATCTCAGCGTAAAGCTCCTCCGCAGAGTTCAGCTGAAGCTTCTTCGCCTCCGTGGGAAGGTCCTTTCCACCACCACCACCCTGCTTCTTGGGTGCAAATTTCTCTGGCGGTAACTTCACATAACCTGAAGTTGGAGGGAACACGCCTTTAATCCCAGCACTGGGGATACAGAGGTAGGCAAATCTCTATGACTTTGAAGTCAGCCTGGTCTACAGATCAAGTTCAAGGACAGGCTCCAAAGCTACACAGAGAAACCCCATCTAAAAAAAAGACAAAAACAAAATCCTACATATGGAATCTGAGGACAGAAAGTTCTGACTGACCATAGAAGGTTCATTCTATACATGATTATAGAATGTAAAATGATACAACTGCCTGACACTTGCAATCTCTCCTGCTGCCTCTTGGATATGCTTTGTGGAGACCTACCCCTTGTTCTGATACCCACCTATGGTCCAGCATCTTGGAATGAACGCTTCTGCCAATTAAGAATGAGGGGAAGATCCATTTTAGGGAACAAGTTTAAAACAACCATATTCCTAAGGATCTGGCAACTCTTAAGTCTTTTATGGAAATGCCTCTTCGTCTCCATCCTCAGCTGTCCACCTCCTGTCCCCTCAGTGGCACACTCTTTCTCACAATAAAAAGTATGGAATACAAAATTTGCCACTTTGGCCATTTTACAGTTAATAATTCAGTCATTTACTGCATAGCTTTAAGGCTGCAGCTGCCATTTCTAGACTTCCTCACCCTAAAGGAACAAGCAGCTCCACACCCTGCTTCCTAGTCTCTAGACTCTACAACGTTAACTATACACAGCTCCAGATTGTCATTAGAGGCCAGGTCATGACAGACAGAAGTGTGTGCGTGCATGCCTGTGTGTGTGTGTGTGTGTGTGTGTCCATCCATGGTAAGGGTCAGAACAGACCTTGTCTAAAGGGGCCATCTCCCGTGGATACTGGCTGCTGGGTGGGAATGAGGTCTAGGGACTGCCAGAACACAGAGGATTTTTAAAGACATGGCATGAATCGAGACTATTAAGAATTCCTCACAAGACACTGAAACGCTCGCTAACAGAATCAAGTATGTTGGCCAACACCAACCAAACAAAACATGCTGTAACCTCTGGCCTAATCACTTGTTAAGCACAAACTAGCTGGCCTTCCAAGACTTTCACCTCGTGACCGCGCCTCTCCTGAGCAGCTGCTGAGGATTTCACCATCTGCGATCAACTCCCGGTAAGCTGGCTGCCCCCAACTCCCAGCATGGACCACACCACTTGCTCCTTTTCTGAGCCTCCATCTAAACTTGACCCCTCCTTCCAAACCCACAAGCTCTCCTATTCTCCACCATCAACCCAGGGCTAGCTTTGGCTCACGTAGAGCAGGGACAGCCAGGGCAAGGAACATCTGATCAGCCCATGAGTCAGCAGTGTGCTCAGACTGAAATGGTAAACTAAACTCAAAGGCTTCACTTCTAATAATTCACACATACAAATATGACAAAGCCTTAAGTTCCCATACTAAAGGGAACTAAAGAGACCAGACCCTCACTCAGCCCCCTGCTTTAGCAGCCATGACAGGCTACAGAAAAGACATGTAGACCTTTGACTCAACACATGACACAAAGAAACTTCAAATGCCCTGGCCTCCAGGAGCCTAGGGCCAAAACTGAACAAAAGAAACTCCAGAACCCCCTAGCCTCTTAGATACTTGGTTCCTGGGAACTGTTGGCCACAAAAGAAACTCCAGGGTAGACCAAAACCTCCCCTGTAGTCTCCAGGACACAATTCTAAAAACTATTGGTATCTATGAATGACAGACCACCATAGAAACCACAGAATGTTCCCTCTCATCACTGACCAATGAGAAGAACTGGCCAAAATATGACTTTGAGAAATTCCTGATTGTTCCCCAAATATCAACCAATCAGAAACCAACCTGTACCTACTGATGTAATCCTGTGATTTTTGCCTTTAAAAACCTGACAGTAGACAGGGAACTGGCTTCTTCTGGTGGCTGCTGTGTCAGCCAGCTAGACGAGGTCCCTGTCATGGATGGATAAACCTTATGCATTTGCATCAGTGGGTCTGTCTCCCTAGTGGTCTCTTTGGGGATCTTCCTGACTTGGGCACAATAAGACATCTAACTTTAGGCTCACAAGACAAGTCAGCTCTTTTTCAAGCTGTTCTCTGCCTTCTATGCAAAGGGAACTTTCTGAATAACCTGTGGGCTGAGTAAGGTGGCAACTGTCTATAGCCTAAGGCTGAGTACAATTGTGACCGTCTATTCCTTATGCTGAGTTCCATGGTGGCTGTCTATCTACAGTCTAAAGCTGGGTATGGTGGCGACCATCTATAGCCTAAACTCCCAGCACTTGGGAACTTAACCAGGAAGACCAGAGCTTAAGTCCAGTCTGGGTTACAGAGCAAAACTTTCTCTCAAAAATATAAAAATCCCTGAGCCAGTGAGAGGGCTCAGTGAATAAAGGTGCTTGTCACCAAGCCCAATGACCTGAGTTCAATGCCCAACACCCACATGGTGGAATGACAACCAATTCCTGAAAGTTGTCCTCTGACCTCCATACATGTACAGCAGGTACCCATGCACACGTGTATGCACATACACACAATGAATAAGTACATGTGGAAAGAGTTTTAAATAAGGTAAGTATGACCAAAATATATACATATATATATGAAACTGTCAGAGAACAGATTAAGAATTTTAAAAAAATCTTTTTTTTCTTTATTTTTATTTTATGTTCATTGGTGTTTTGCCTGCATATATGTCTCTGTGAGGGTGTCAGAAGCCCTGGAACTGTAGCTACAGACAGGCATGAGGTGCCATAAGGGTGCTGGGAAGAGCAGTTAATACTCTTAACCACTGAGCCATCTCTCCAGCCCCAAAGAATATTTTTTTAAGATACACATGTTTAATCTCAGTTCTTGGGAAGTAGAGATAGGTGGATGCCTAGGCATTCCAGGCTAGCCTGGGCCACACAGTAAGACTGGGGCTCAAAATAAACAAATAAATAATAAAGAAATGATAGCAGAGTAAGATACAGAGCCCCATGGAAGCCTCTCTCCCCTTTTACCACTTCCCTGTCCTGCGTGTTCTTATCTGGTTACTTGTTCACTGTATATCAACGACACAGACACAAATATGAACGCAGTTTATAACGAGAATAAATCGGCCGTATAGTTTCTCATGGTCCACATTTGTGACTTTTATGGCTCTGCAATGTTGTATAATGTTCTCAACTACTTAGAACAGCCTGGAAAATAAATGGTACCACAAAGTTTCACACACACCTCCCTCATTGTTTCTGGAATGATGTTCCCTCAAGTGACATACATTCCTGGGATCTTTGCAGGCCAAGAACTAATAGCTTTTTAAAATTTTTGTTTGTTTTTGTTTTTTGACACAGGGTTTCCCTGTGTAGCCCTGGTTCTGTAGACCAGGCTGACCTCAAACTCAGAGATTCATTTGTCTCTGCCTCCCGAGTGCTGGGACTAAAGATGTGTACCACCGCCACCCAGCTCAAGAATAGTTTATATGCTTCCAACTTGCTTCAAGAAAAAAAAAATATTTTTATTAGTCTCTACTTTCAAACCATCATTAGAAAATGAATCTTTAGTTGTGATAATTCACACCTTAGTATAATCACAACACTAGGGAGGGAAAGGCCGGCCTGGACTACGCAGTAAACTTCATGTTAGCCCGGGCTATACTATTTTAGAACACGAGGTAGGGGAGGCGAGGGAGAAGGAAATTAGAACCCTGGACCTTTACATTCAAACAATGCTTGAGAGCAAACCCTAAAGCGGCAGCTCTGCACGAGAGGGGAGGGGGCTTTGATCCTACCAGTGACCAGTGAGAGTTAACATCACTTCACTTACTGTTCTGAATGCCGTAAATCTCATCAATGAGTCCTTCGTATGTGAGCTGGGTGGCGAGCGGCGTTAATAGATCCACATTGCGATCAAGCAGCAGGAGGTTATCGAACATGGGGAACACTGAGTTTTGGCTTCCCGTAAACTCCCTCTTCATCCTGACCATCATATTGGCCACTTGCTGGAGACAAAACATCGGGTCAAATGAAACCTCCTGGGATCTAGCAGAGGTTAAGATTCTGCTTCAAACAAAACAATAATCAAAAGTTTAAAAACAAAAGAAAGGTGGGGGGAGAAAAGCTCCTAGGGCCAGACTGATAACAAAATAAACAGCTACAGACAAGCACCTGTGCTTAACCACCCTCCCAACTTGGAGCCTAGAGTGGCCCCTGGGCCTCAGTCAGACATGGGATCAGACCCAGTGACACTCGATTCTATAGTGCCTGGAAATGGTGAGGTAAGCAGCCGCTGTTCCAGACAGAAACCCAGGGACCTGTGAGCCTCTGTTCGTAGCTTTTACTTTTATTTATTTATTTGTTATAGATTTAGTTATTTTTAGGGCATGAGATATGGCTCAGTGGTTAAGAGCACTTACTGGTCTTGCAGAAAACTTGGGTTGAGTTCCCAGCCCCCACCTTTGGTGGCTCCCAACCATGTGTAACTCCAGTTACAAAGAATCCTTCAGGACACCCTCCGGCCTCCATGGGTACCTGCACCCAAGTGGTACACACAAACTCACAAGATGCAATATCCCGCCCCATATGAAGTAAATTTAAAGAAAACTTAGTTATTTTTACTTATGGGTTTATTTGTGTCTGGGTGTGGCTTTTGTGCATATGAGTGCAGTGCCCACATTGGTTACAGGAGAGCATCGGATCCCCCGACTCTGGAAGTACAGGTGACTGTTGCCTGATGTGAGTGCTGAGAACTGAACCAGCTCCTCTGGAAGAGCAGGAAGTGCCCTTAACCACTGAGCCAGTCTCCAGTCCCTGGTCATGCCTTTGTCAACAGGTCAATACTAAACCTTGCGTCCTGTGTATGTGTTGTCACCTAATGGTATGTTATTGAGTCATTCATGCAGGATGGAAGGCCAAGAGCTCTGTGACTCTGGCCCAGAAGGACCTTATCATCTGATGCATGACATTCACCGTAAGTCACACTACACATCTCACACCACACTTAGGATGCACTTAGACAGCAAAACCACCCAACGAGTGTAAAAGTGTGAGAAGCCTGAGGCTAAGTGGGCTATGAAAGAGACACTTGTCACCTGGTCACCTCTGCTAACATGTCCGGTGGGAAAGCACTGACTGGAGAGTGATGTATGAACGCAAGAGTGACAAGGGCTGGCTGCATCTCTGGAGTTTCCCTTTGACCGCTACCCTGGATAAAAGCAGAGAACGGAGGGTTCTCACCCGAGCACACTCTCCTTTCCCGAAGATGTGGGGGATGGTCCCATACAGTGCCTGCAGGGTCATCAGCCCCTTGGCTGCATGGTACAGGCTTGTCTGGTCGCCCTCCAGGTAGCACTCCTGTGGAGACAAAGACCACTTACTGTGGGCCATCACTTACTTTGGGCAGTTGTAAAATTACCATCCACTTACATCAACAGTGGTGGCTGGGGGTGGTGGCTCAGAGGAAGAGCGGGGGACAGGAGTCCCAGGCCTTGTTTTTGGTAGTTCTGGGAATCAAACCCAGGGCCTCAAGCACATGGTTTCACTTCTGAGCTATACTCTCAGTAACAACAGATTTAACCCTGAATGATGATTATATTGGTTCTCACTGGAAACACTGATCAGCTGGGGCCCTCTCCTCCCAGAATAGTCAGTGAGGGATGCTATGCATAAACAGGTCACTCCTGTGGCATTTCAAGCTACAAGGACATTTTAGGATAAATGCTACTACACATTAATATTTAGAAGCTCATATTTTAGGTGCCAAACTTACCCACACAACAGAAGCCCTATAGGTTTTATTTTTGTCTGTTTTTTAACTAGGCTGACTTTATATATATATATATATATATATATATATATATATATATATATATATCAGCTTTTAGTTACTAAAGTGAAGGTACTAACACTATATACTAGCACTGAACATTCAGTGGGGTGAGCACCATCTCAGATTTTATACACTACACAATAAAGACAGAAGCATGCAAAGATCTAGACATCTCTCCAGAAGCCAGGAAATGCCAAGCTGTGCTGAACTATTTATTTATGTGACCTCCATCATAACTGGGGCTGGCATTAACTTCAGTCATAGCTTTCAGTCCAAAAACCCAGGGAACATACAGACAGAATACTGTATGTGCTAAGAGTGAGGGCTGCAGAAAGCCTGTCTGAAAAAGAACTTAAAGAATGAGGTGAGCTCAGTGCGGCTTCCGCAAAGAGGTCTGGGTGTGTGCCACCATGCCCAGTTATTTACAAAGCTTTCAAATTACTGCTTTAATTATTGTGGGTTTTGTTTGTTTCTTTTGAAGTCTCCCTATTGTGAGCAAGCTGGCCTCAGCCTCTCAATCCTTCTGTCACAGCTTCCCAGATGCCGGGATTGTAGGTGTTTAATTGAAGAATTTAAAGGGGGTGACTTTGGGGCTGGAGAGATGGTCGGCAGTGAAGATCACTGGCTGCTTGTCTGCAGGACCTGGGTTCAATTCCCGACATCCAAACGGCAGCTTCCAGTCATTTATAACTCTGACCTACTCTTCTGGCCTCTGTGAACACCAGAAGCACCTGTGGTATATACCCACACTTGCAGGCAATGAAGCAACAAAAACAAAACAAAACAAAACAAAAAAAAAAAACAACAAAGGATAAAAAATCTTCACAATAAAGGAGTGAGTTCTACAGCATGTGGATGAAAATAAAACTAAAGTATTATATAAAGAATTCCCAGAAGGTGCTGTGGCCCACACCTTTCATTCCAGCACTTGGGAGGCAGAGACAGGTGGATCGAGGCCAGCCTGGTCTATAGAGGGAGTTCCAGGACAGTCAGAGCTATAAAGAGAAACCCTGTCTCAGAAAACAAAACAAAATTCCTGAAAAACAAAAAAGGGGGGTAGCCAGGTATAGTTATACACACCTGCAATTCCGGCATTTAGGAAGCAGGAGGATCAGGAGTTCAAGGTCAGCCTGGGCTACATGAGACCTTGTCTTAAAATAGCAAAATGGATTTGAGTCAAATGCATTGTGTCCACCAGTGAACATTAAACAAAATATCAAAAACAAACAAAAATAACAATGGGAGTCAAGCAGGGCCATACTCTGGGCACTTAGGAGGCTGAGGAGAAGGATGGCAAGTGGGGTGGTCACAGACTCCACCTTTTAAAAGGGTGGGGGTGGGGAGCAGCTGTCTGGAGAAGGCTTAGTAGTTAAGAGCTCTTGCTTGCTGTTTAAGCCTAAGTACCTGGGGTCAAATCCCCACCCACGTGTGAAAATCCTCCAACCGGCACTTGTGTAACCCACAGCTGTGGACACAGATGTCTGAACCTGCTGGCCACCAGCCTCACCTTCAGTTCAGGAAGAGATCCTGTCTGAGGGGAGTAAGATGGAGAGTGATGGCGCAGGGTGTCCTCTTCTGCACACACACGCCCGCACACACATGCACGCATACACAGAAAAAGGAACAGAATGAGAGGGAGGGGAAACAGGCAGAAACATGAGCAGGCAATCTGCCAAAGAGACCATATTGGACATCAGTAACATGAGACGGGCCTCACCAGATGCAAATGGAAGGGTTAGCATGGCACTGCAGTAATAAGCTCAACAAAAATCAAAGTCTTTAATCCCAGCACTCAGGGGGCAGAGCAGGTGCAATCTCGGCGAGTTCCAGGTCAGCCTGGTCTATAAAGTGAGTTCAAGGCCAGCCAGGCCCACACGGTAAAAACCCTGCCTTTACAGAATATAAACAAACGTTTGATGTTAAGGAAATGTCAACCTTACTTTGAATGCACCCTCTGATTCCATGGATAAGAGGTCCCCATCAAATGGAATGAGATCCAAACTGTATTCCTCTCGATGGATAAAGGATCCCAAAACACCCAGGTCCTTCAACCGTTGTTCACACAGCAAGCTCCGGCGTGGCACAAACAAAATATGGAAATCCCTGTTAGGGCCCCGTCTGTCTTCACTGCAAGGGAAGTAACCATTGTTAGCTTATGCACTCTTTGGGTCAGAGGTTTTCTTATTTTGCCCCCATTAGCTGGCAGGTGCTAAACAAACACTGCTTAAATACACAAGAACAGATTCTGAAGGGGCTGGAGAGGTTAACAGTACTTGCTGCTCTTCCAGAGAACACCAGTTTGGTTCCCAGCACCCATGTGGCAATTGACAACTATCTACAATTCTAGTTCCAAGGTATCCAGCGCCCTCTTCTGACCTCCACAGACACCAGGCATGTGCACAGTATATGTGCAGGCAAATATACACATAAAATAAAAGTAAGTATATCTTTTTTAAAAAATACATTGCCTGAACTGTTAATCAAACTCTGATTCCAGCACACATATCACATGATTCACAAGTGCCTGTAACTCCAGCTCCAAGGGATCCACAGTAACCTACACACCACACCACACACACACACACACACACACACACACAGACAGAGAGAGAGAGAGATAGAGACAGAGAGAGAGAGAAAACTAAAAACCCCAGATCTCACAACAGGATGTCTGTGTTTTGTTGAAAACCAGTTAAACACAAAGTCTTCTATCAAGTGAGACCCCCCCCCCTTCTCTTCTCCTTGTTTGTGGACTTCTAAAATTAGCCCATATGCAGCCACGGTTTTCAGGGGCTGCATCAATCAACTGCACCACAGAGCACAGCCTGTGCCGAAAGCTTCCTCCACAGATTGGTTTCAACATTAAACTTTAATCACTTCTTACTTTTTTCGCTGATGAAATTCAAGCACACATCTGGCATTTTGAGAAAAAAAATGACCATTAGAGGTTTTTGTTGCTGTGTTATTTAAGGCAGGGTTCTCTCTGCTGATACAGGCTTGAACTTCTAGCTATCCTGAGGGAAGTTATTTCCCTCAGACTCCTAAGAGCACTCTCACAAACCTCCCCCCCTCCCTTAATATTCTTCCACATCTGGTCCTACTCTTCCAAAAGATGACCTTCCAACACTCTGGCAAGAGGGTGCTGCAAGGTCAAGGTACTCAGAACATTAAAACCACTATAAAAACAACTTGTAGGCAGGAAAAGTTCAATTGCCCGCCGTTAAACCTGATAACCCAAGTTCAGTCCCTGGGACCTCTGCGGAAGAAGGGAACCCATTCCTACCAGTTGTCTTCAGACCTCCACACAGACACCATGACACACACACACAGCCTCTAAAATGAATAAATAAATAGGTTTAAAAAAAAGAACTCTTAAAGCCCAACTTGCTTTGAAACACAAAGCTCTGAAGTACCTGAGCACATTCTCAGCAATTATATCCATCAATTCTAGCCTGGGTCTGACCAAAAATATGATGTTCTTGACATCGGCTGCCGGCAAACGATTTCCTTTAAGTGTGAACATTTTTTCCACTTCATGTTCCTAGGGAAGCAGGCACGAAAGGTTAGTAAGAACCCTGACCTCTATTATCTTCAGATTTATAAATAATTCAGTCATGTAGAGGACCAAGCCTCAAGATAAAGACATTGTTTCTGCATGCCCAGGACACAGTCCCACAAGACAGTGCTGTTGACAAAGTGATTTTTGTTTCTGTTTCTTCTCTGTGACACCAGACATTAATTCCAGCCAGGGCCTCGTGCATGCTAGGCAAGTACACAACCACTGAGCTGCACCCTCTATGAAGAATGTTCGACATGTATTGATCTCAGTGTTTATACAGATCAAATAGCTTTGTAAGTGATCATCCAGGAAGATATGTAAAACTCCCATTACCAATACTGAGTTCAATTAATTATTAATTCCTGAACAAATCCCATATGCCACATTACCTTTAGTAGGGAATACTGGGCAATCAGTCCAAATGGTCCTGTTAAGTACTCATCCCACACAATTGCCTGTAAGAGAGGAGAAATGCACCTTACTGCAGATATTCTCAGGAGGCCCAACAATAGCAACAGAAAATGGCAGTTATACACAGTACGAATATATTTTTGAAAGTTTATTTTCCCCTGGGCCTTACCCCCATTTTATTGTAATTATGTGCGCTTGTATGTGCAGTTGCCTTTAGAGGCCAGAAGAGTCACATCCCCCTGGATTGAGTTATCAGTTGCCCACTGTAGATGCTGGGAACTGAACTGGCTCCTCTGTAAGAAAAGCGTTCCCTCTTCATCCTCTCCAGCTACCAAGAAATATTTTCCTAAAATCTGGAGTTAATATTTTTATAGGTTCTGATCACATTCATAGCCTAAGGCTCAAAATAAAATTTTCATGAGAGGCAGATGTGATACACTGGGGTCAGAAATCCCTGGTTCCACTTAGTAAAGCTATAATATACTACCACAGTCATAATACTGGTGTCCATACATGTATTATATCTGATTTCAGCATCCTTTGTGGTCTAATCTGAGCCCCTGTGATTTAATCTGCCTTCTTGACTCAGTGGCAGCAAGCAACCATCTTACTTAGGGCCCATTCCCCCCCCCCCCAAAACTGGTTCTTTAAGCGCCTCCGATTTATTTATCTCTTCAGATTAGTACTGACAGATCCCTAGAGAGTACTGGGGGATGATTCCTAAACTTCAGAATAGAGAAAGAATACTGCTTCAAAGAACATCACAGCTAGGCAAATGATGGCTCGTGTCTGTAATGCCACAACTTAGTAGGCTGAGGCAAGAGAATGAGGAGTTGGAGAGTAACCTGGGTTGCACAACCAGGCACAGTCTATGCTGCCCAGAATCGACTCAAAAATAAATGAAGAGCCGTGCACACGCCTTTAATTCCAGCACTCTGGGGCAGAGGCAAGTGGATCTCGGTGAGTTCGAGGCCAGCCAGGGCTGCACAGGGAGACTCCAACAATGAGGGAAAAAAGGGGAAGGAAATTCTATAAAGTCCCCGATCTAGCCCGCCTCCGTGTAATGGGCAAAACGACCCGTGTTAGAGACCAAGTTAAAGTTTCAAGGGCCCCCCATCCTCTCTCACAACGTGTGTGGAGGGAGCTGTGGGCGTGGGTGCTTCCAGACTGGAGGGGACGACGTTCCCGCAGGCGGGAGAGCTCGGGGCTGGGGACCGGGGTGTACTCGGCTGTCACAGAGCAGCGGCCCGGTCGCCCCCGACGCCTCGCACCGCCGTGCCAGGCCGGGCAGGGTGGCGCCGAGCACGACTCGTCCCTCACCTTGCTCCCAGCGCACTTGTCCAGAAACTCGCGCAGCTCGCGGCGCACCGCCTCGCGCAGCACATTCAGATTCACTCGCCCGTACGACAGGTGCGCGGCCATCTTGCCTGGCCACCGGCGTTTCCCAGGCGCCGCCGCGGTCACGTGAGTGCACGTCCACGTGACCGGACTCACTGACGTATACTTGTCAGGGAAGGAAGATTCCAAGGCTTGGCTACGCGGGAGGTCTTGGAGTGTTCCCCAACCCTCCTCCGTCTGGGAATGGTGGGCACTGAAAAATGCGAGTTTGGGATGGGTGTGTGTGTGTGTGTGTGTGTCTGTCTGTGTGTCTGTGTGTCTGTCTGTCTGTCTCCAGACCCGAGTTCTCCTGTAACAGCCCTGGCTGTCCTGGAGCTCGCTCTGTAAACCAGCTGTGCTGGAATTCACGGAGATGGCCTGCCTCTGCCTTCTGAGTGCTGGGATTAAAGGAGTGCGCCACCAATGTCTTTGAAAAGTGCATTTTAAGAACACAGCTGGGCTGGAGAGATGGCTTAGCCATTAAAGACTAGACTCACAACCAAAAATATAAGAGTTTGGTTCCCAGACCCCAGGGCTGTCTCTTCAGCCAACCAAAACAAATAAAAAACACAGCTACTGTCTCAAAAAACAAAACAAAATAATTAGATGTTATTTGTCCCGTTTAAAAGACACCACACATGTCTTAGTGGCTAAAATACTAGTGTCAAATGTTGATTGAGGCCAGACTACAAAGTGGGTATTACTACACCCAGCCTAGTGTTAAAAGCGGGTTAACCTCAGTGCAGGCAGACCTCTGTAAATTCGAGGTCATTCTGGTTAACAAAGCTGGTTCCAGGACAACTAGGGCTACACAGTGAAACCCTGTCTCCAAGTAAACAAACAGTAAACGGGCTGAAGAATCATCGGGGCAGTAGAGAGCACTTGCTGCTTTTCCAGAGGACCAGGTGTGTGGCTCATAGCCATCCTCAACTCCATTCCAGGGGATACAATGCCCTTTTCTAGCCTACAAGGACACTGTGGGCACACAGAGTTTATATATACCTTCAGGCAAACACTTAAAAAATAGAGAAATGGCTTAGTGATCAAGAGCACTTGCTGCTCTTCCAGACAGCCAGACTGGCTTTCCAGCACCCATGTGACAACTCACAAATATCTGCAACCCCAGTTCAGACTAATGCCCATTTCTTCTGACCCCCACGGGCTTGCTCCATGTGATGAGTGTTTTGTCAAACCCAGAGGCTCTACAAGAGCAGCAAATGCTCTTGACAGCTATGACAGCTCTCCAACCCTCACAATCGCCCAGTCACATCCAATTAATACTAATAAATTGAGAATTTTCTGTTGCAAGGTATTACTTAATTTAACATGGTGTTTTTGAAACCACTGTTTGGGGAGGTATCATATAGTCAACTGGTACAGTAGCTATCCTAGCATTTGAGAGTTTATAAAGGTTGTGGGTTACCAATCAGAAGACAGAATGGCATGTGCCTATAATCCCAGCACTTGGGAGGCAGAGGAAAGGGTAGTAAATCCTGACCTATCTGATCTACATAGCAAGACCAAGCCCAACCTGAGCCTTCTCTCAAAGTCAAGGACTGCACATGGTGGTGCGAACCTTTAATCCCAGCACTCTGAGGCAGAGGCAGGTGGATCTGTTTGAAGCTAGCCTTGACTACAGAGTGAGTTCCAGGACAGCTAGGGTTGTTACACAGAGAAACCCTGGCTCAAAAACCAAAATTTTAATTTTTAAAAGTTATATGTGGATGTGTGTATGTGAGTGCAGGTACCCACAGAGGCTTCAGATCCCCAGGAACTGAACTCACAGGCAGTTGTGAATTCTCACCTGGGTGCTGGGAAACCAACACCAGTTCTCTGGAAATAGTAGCAAATGCTGTTAACTAACCACTAAGCCATCTTTATAGCAATGGATCTGAGAAGGCCCATTGGTGGTAGGGTATTGCGGTAAATAAGGATCAGGATAAACAAATAGGCCGAATAGATGTTTATTCAGGGAGAAATAACTTACAACCTAGACAGATGAACACCAGGAAATTCAACCCGATCCTCTCCTGTCCGAGTCACGCCAGAAAGAGAGCGCCTTCCTGGCCCCCTCCGACCTCCTTCCTCAGGTCACCTCCGCCCATCGCTCCACCCCCCAATGGGCGTGGTCAGTGCTACAGAAGGATTATCTCACTACAGTAGGGGGCGGAGGAAGTGCATAGGGCTGTCAACTGTTTGGGAGCTCAGTGTCATCCCTCTGGTTAGGAGGTCCACCACATTACCTCTCAACATCTGGATGCCTAAGCTAAGTCAGCCAGTGTTGACACTGTGTTCTTCCAATGCCATCTGTAGAGTTAAAGCAAGCAAGCTGTTAGTAGTGTGCACTAAGCTAGCAATTCCCTTTTACGATATTGAGTGTAGAATATCTGCTCCCATCCAACACCCTGTCAGATCCACCTAATATGCTATGATAAAGCAGTGGGTTACCCAAGACATTTAATTTTTGAATAATTCACAAAAGAAACCCTGTCTCAAAAAAATGTTATTTTTTTTCCAACTTCTAGCAGGGCCTCATATAATCCAGGCTGGTGTTTAACTGACTGTGTAGCTGAGGATGACCTCGAACTTTTCCCTCCCAAGTACTGGGGTGACAGATGTATACCACACATGACTTCTTTTGATTTTCTCTCTCATGTTCTGGTGTGAACAGAATTGGTTGGTGGTGTTTCATGAAGTCACTTGGAAGCCCAGGATCCTTCCAAGAGGTTTGCGGTCTTCTAGGACACTCTTCCCCTGTTGGGTTGGAAGCATTTTCAATCTTTGTACACCCCACCCCCATCTTGAGACAGAATCTCATCACAGAGGCCAAGCTGGCCTTGAACTCATGTCAATCTATCAGCCTCAGTCAGGGTAACATCTCTCCACCTGTCTCTCCCCAATTCCCCAAATCCATGACATCACCTGAATGTGTAGCATCCTATCTTCTGGTTAACAGTGGTAACTTACAGAGATCAAGGCCTGCTAGCTCCTGGTATTTACACACTCAAGTGCAGGTACATGCCCAGTACAGAGGACAACCTCAGCTGTCGTTCCTAAGGGGCCATCTACTTTTGTAAAATTCTTCCACTGACTTGAAACTTGCCAAGTAGGTTAGGCCAGCTGGTCAGCTAGTGCCTAGGGACCTGCCTATCTGCCTCCTCTGTACAAGAAGCACAAGTGTGTGCCAGCTACCAGGCTCAGCTTTGTGGATTCTGGGATCAAACCCATGTCCTGACTGAGCTATCTCCCCAGGTTCTGTCCTTTCCAGACAGGTTCTCTCTCATGTATCCCAGGCTAGCCTTGAACTTGCTAACTGGCCAAGGAAGACCTTGAACTTTTGATCCTCCTGCCTCCACCTTCCCAAAGCAGGGATTAGGCACTTGCCACCATACCCGGTTCTGTATCTTTTCCTTGTTTCAGTGAATGGCATCATCATTCCCAAGCAAGCCATACCGTTCCCAAACAGTGTTCAAATCAATGAACGAAGGAAGCTGCCTTTGGCATTTGTGTGTATTTGTATGTGGTGTTAAGGATTGAATCCAGTCTTTGTGTATGGTGGGCATGCACTGTAACAGTGAACCACATATCCAGCTCCTGCTGACATTTTTGTTGTTGTTTGTGGAGTCAGGGTTTCTCACTCAGTAGACCAGGCTGGCCTCAAACTCAAAGTTCTGTCTGCCTCTGCCTCCCAAGTCCTAGGATTAAAGGCATGTGCCATCATCGCCTGGCTCATTGCTGACATTCTTATAAGCAACTCCAACAATGCTTCCAAGGCCTAACACTTAGGACATAGCAGGTTTATTTCTCTTCTTTTTAAACAGTCTGATGTAGTTCTGGCTGGCCTCCAAGTTGCTATGTATCCAAGGACTGACCCTTCTGTCTCTGCCTCCAAAGGGTCTAGCTGGACACACCAATTTCTTACAGGTGTTTATCAAGTTGTTTTATTGAAGTGGAAAGAGCTATTTTTGAAACTATTGTTGCCGCTTAGTGGTAGAGGCAGCAAGGGATTACCTTTTAGATTTAAAGGGCTCTCCCCATCCCCCAACCCCCAAAACATAGTTTCTCTGAGTAGCCCTGGCTGTCCTGGAACTAGCTCTTATAGACCAGGCTGGCCTCAAACTCACAGAGATCCACCTGCCTCTGCCTCCTTAGTACTGGAATCAAAGTTGTGCTTTCTTACTTGAAGAAAAAACATAACAAATAATCCCCAAGACTCAGATTTTAATACTGCTTCACATATCTTGTTTGTGAAGTAATTCCTATAGTTTTATTAACCAAAAATGTCAACTGGTAACAGATTTGTTTAATGTTCACTCATCAAGCACAGTGGATAATCTTGAGGGGGAAATATGACAAAGGCTTATATACAATAATGGAAGTTCTTATCATGCAGGCTGCATGATGGTGCATTTAATTCCTTTTTACATATTCTCAAAAACATTCAAGTGAAGACAGACTCAGAGTGATAAACTCTTGTATGTTGAGGTCCTTCGTTTTATCTTTTTGTGATAAGAAAATTCAAAATTATTAATGTTGAATTTCTCATCATACATTCATTAAAAGATACAGTAAAAAAAACCCACAAACATATAAAGGAGGGCTGTAGATCAGTTAGTTTAGCTGTTGTAGAGTGGCTTAGTTCGCTACTGGGATTATCTGCTAAAGAAGGGAAACAAAAACAAACAGCTGGAGGTCGTTCTTCCAGCTATTCACATCTGGTTAAGAAACATGGTAAGGAAGACAACAGGTATGAAGCCACAGATGCTGCTTCTGGCCTAGTCAGTTACATCCTGATGAGCCTTTTACATGTTTTGTTTTTCATAAAGGTAAAAAAATCTGAAAAGAAGACACATTGTATATACTTTTTCCCAAAATATAGATTTTTAAAAATATATATATACATATAATATATAGAGGTTGAAATTATGTGAAACTGATAAAGAAAACACCACTGTGGGGCCCATGGGTGCAGCATATAGATTATAAACGTCCCCACAGCAGTTTGGGGCTCTCCCCTCCCTTTTACCTGCTTCATGACTTACAATCACACCTATGTATTGTCAAG